CGATGGACGCCGCACCCGGTGTGAAGAAGAGTAGGCAGAATTCGGATCGTGGCGTACGCATATATTGACCCTACCAACACATCTGTCGTCGACAACTCAGCAAAAAGGTGATGGTTACCGATGACGTCAAGGCGGCACGTTTCGCAGACGAGGTCGGCTACCCGCCGAGCGCAACCTCCACGGCAGCTGGTAGGCACACCAGTTTTGTCCCATTGTCTTGCTATGCTTGTATTTGCGCTGTGCAATGCTATCGCTCTACTGCTGTATTTTGATAGATCTGACTGGCATACCGAGCAGATGAGGAAGATGGTTAATCTGCGTGGTAGGCGCGTGCTCATATCTGGCTCACATCAAGCTTCAATATAGGACCGCATTGCAGACGCCATCTATTGTTTCCGACGCGGATGGCCTGGCAGGCCTCTTCGTACACTTAGAGAACGGCGATCAATGATAGGTTGCTTTCGTGCCTAAATGCATCAAGCCTCCGCCTGCGGTCAGAGGCAGAGTCTCACCGGCCGTTCGCACTTCTCCCACTCAGCTCCCCCCATGATCTCCAGGCTGTATCTCCTTTATGCCGTGCTTCTGACGTACCTACAGGTCGCCCATGTGGTATGGGCCCAAACCCCGTCGTTTGCGGTGCCGACAACATGGAAGGTAGGTCCAGGTTCTTCCTTCCTTCTTCCGGTAACCAACGGTGAAACGAACGTCTGCAATATGGACAGGGATCAACAACGAATCTAACCTTGGACCAGAGGTACAACCTCGCAACGGCGATTATCGACACCGTCAAGGGGCTCTTCAATGCCAGTGACGGGGTTATAGACGGTGTGTACTATGATGCCCGCGTTGATTTCGCGAGCTCAGTGGTATCCGACGTTGGCCACCACCAGAACTCGGGTTTTCAGACACGAGCAGCATGCTCATCGCGATATCCTTGATGGATCGTATCAATGGCACCAGCTTATATCAGGATTTGGTCATTAACAGTTTGACTACGGCGATAAACCCCAGTCCTCCTACGTCGTAAGTCCCCCAAAAATAACCCGTAGCTGCTACCTGATAATGTACCGCACCCTACATCCAGGGTAAGTGAAGAGCGTGGTTTAGTTGGATAGTATAACTCAGTAATCATTCCAGACCCTAAATACAGATGCAGCGTAAGTTGGCCTGTTTCGCTGCCAGCGACTATCCCGAAAGGTGACTGTATGTCCTAGACAATGGGGCACAACTGCTGTTCAAGTTGCGCTCGCTTACAACAGCACGACTGCACTAGCACTTGCCACGTCGATATGGGAGCAGCTGTACGTTTACTTCATTCAGCCGTCGGATGCGGCGCAGGGGAGCCATGCCACCAGAAACGTACTAATCGCGTCTACTTGCAACGGATGTGAGTATATCTTCTTATCTCGGAGGGAAGCACGCTAATCTAGCCCATTCAGTAACTACAGCTGGCGGGCTCTTCTACGTATGATTCTGTCTCATTGAATGCCTGGTTGTCACTCATCACCTGAGAACAGTTTAGCGGGACTAATCAAACCAACACAGATGTGAATGTAGAGACGCTCGGGTGAGTGTATATCGTTATGTGTTGCAAGCGGCCAGTGAACATGAGCATCCTCCAGGGCCTTTATGGCGTATGTAGTTACCGTTCTATCTCAATATTCTTCACGGCTGATGATCGTAACTTTTGCAGGCTGTCTTCGTACTTAGCCACAGCTACCTCCAATCAAACTTACGCGACAGCAGCGGAACTGTCTGCGGAATTTATATGGAACCAGCTATACAACGGCATGATAATCATGGACACAATCACGGTGGCGAACTGCGCGACCAACGACGTGACGCTCTCGTACAATTCAGGCAAGACTATCGAGGGTCTCGCTGATTTGGCCCAGAGGAATTCCGTATGGACGTCTCGGTGCGTGATTTAGTCGTTGGACTTCCCAGCACTCTAACGCTCCCAATCTGTACTAGTTTGGAGTCACTTGTCTCAGCTGTAATCCCCTTCCCTGATTGGACCGCAAGCAATGGAACAAACAGCGAAGGTACACTCCACCTTCATCATGCCGAGCGTGGTATTGATCCTGCGATCTCAGACCAGGTAGATCCACAGGACGTGGAACAGTCGTCCTTCTTGCATTCTACGAAGGGTATGTCGTCTCTACGCATCATTGCTTACAAAGAGTATTGACTTTCAACCATAGCATTCCTTATTCGAGGTTTATACGCCGCTTGGAACCATACTGACCCCACGTCTGACATGGCGAAGTTAATTGAAGCATATATCACTGTTCAAGTTTGTGGTATATGCTCTACTAATAAGAAATGCAACTCATCTGCGAATAGTATAATACGCTGCAAGATCTTGCCACATCCCCTGGCACCAATATGTATTCCTCGGCTTGGTCCGGCCCTCCTATCCCAGTGCTTGTACCATGGGGTCAACTAGATGCATTGGAGGTGATGAGGTCGGAATTTGGGTTCGCGCTAAAGCAACCAACGACCCTCACATCGCAGACGTACGTGCATCTCCATATGCTGTGCATAATTACTTGGGCGCTTACTGATCTCAAAAGCTCATCGACTTCTCCTGAATCGATGTCTTCTACATCGACCACGACCTCAACACGTTCCCCTTCCACACAAACTGCAGAACCGAGTCATAAACAATCAGATGTTGCGGCTATTGTTGGAGGCACGGTCGGAGGAGTTGTTTTCCTAGCCTTACTCGTGGCAATCCTTTTGATCTGCCGCAAGCGTCGCAAGCAGGACGAAGAAGAAACCATTCGTCAAAAAATGGAGTTCGCGCCAGTGCCTTACACGCCGGACTTGGCCACGCTGAGCATGGCCCCCGCTTCTTCTACGCCACCAACAAGCACGACCACACTTCGTGCGTTCGCGAGCAAGCCAACGTACCTGAGAAGCACCGCGAAACAAATACCCGACAGCGCTCTGCGAGCAAACGAGGAAGAAGCCGCCTTCGTGGAGCAACCGATGTCTCCAGGCGTCTCTCAGCCTAGCGGCTCAGAAGGCCCCAGTACTGCGAGCCCGCATCCGGCGGCGAGTCCTACGAGCAACCCTCAAGATGCCGACGAGCCCGAGCATGATTTAACCGCGTTACTCGCCCAGCTCTCCAATATACTTGCGACGGCTCCGCACACTCAAGGAGATGCACCTCCGGCGTATGATGACTAGGGTTTTCTGGACATTTGAACTTGTCTGTAATTGGTTTTTTGGCCCGGTGACATATCTTTCGAACGTTGAAGTACCTAGCCAGATTTTCTTGGTTCGGGACGGACGTTATCAGAAATCAGCCAGTCTGCTGTCATTTAGGGACAATTATGTCTACTTTCCTTTATCACGGGATGGTGATCCACGAAGACAGCCTGCGGTTAGCTGTCGCCGTCATGAGCTACTTGGTACGAACCTGGGCAGATACTGTATGGTTCCTTGCCGTCAGCCGCGCGACATAGGACTGAGCCCTAGGATCTCACCAACTATCAAAGCTGAAGTTCAGCATTCGGGGGAGTTCTGTGCAAAGATGGGTCGCACAAATCAGCGTCGCGTGAAGGCTTGGTGGAAGCGCGTCGACACGCGCGACGTAAAGAGAGCCCTCGCAATGATGCAGTCCGCATCACCAAAACACTCAGAGCCGCAGGCGACAGCGAAGAGTCCAGCGGGTTTGAGAAGAGCGAGCGGCGTCCTCCTTACTCCCGCAAGGCCGGGGCTCTTCATTGGCGGACGAGGCAGGTAAATTGTTAGTGAGGGAGATCTCGCGTTCTGGAAGGTAAGAGTTAGTCAACTTGTGCCTTGAGCTGCTCGTTTTTGACAGGCTTTTACGGGGGACAAAGATTAAGGCAGTGGTGGCTATGATGGCGGGGACAGACATATCAACTTCTTTTTGACTGTATAAGCCATGTCAATAGACCGAAGCGATCGGGATGCAACGAGCTCAATTCGAGAAGGAAACATCTACAGCAGCAGCGTCAGATCGAGGAGCACAGGTTCTTCTGCAAAGGGTAGATACCCAAGGAAGCGACAACCTAATAAATTAAATCGTGCCCATATCGTACAAAGACCTTACGTCTCAACGTCATGCTCCGTCGATATTGGCGGAACTGTTGACGTAGTCGGCCTCTTTCCTTCCCGGCCCAGTCCTGCAGCTCGTTCAGACTCCTCGATGGTGTAAGCCGGCTCCTTCAGCTGCTTCAGCTGTCGCTTGTGGACCTTGCTTCGCCAATGTGACTTCAAAGCGGCATCACTTTCGTAGTATCTGTTACGCAATCAGGCATAATCGCAGGGGACAGCTTCAGCTTGCTTACTTTGCACACTCTACGCAGTAGTGTTGCGCGAGGCCTGGCTTTTCGTAATCTATTGGCTGTGCCTCCAAGGCAGCTCGATTCTGTTGCATATCTCGTTAACTATGACTCGATAATAATGCATTCACATTATTGCACCTTCGGATCTAAGTCAATAAGCTGAATCTGGTCCAGGTCTTTCGTCCGTGCCTACGTGATCACTTCAGTGCATCTCGCTCAAGGTCTTTTGATTGTGATAACACACCCGCGTCCTTGAGGCTCTATGCACATCTCTCTGCGCGTGATGCGTTCTCGATCGGCGTAAACGACCCATGTTATAGAGAGGAATGCGGGTAGATGTGTTCGAAGGTGGAAGAGCAAAATAATAAGCGCAAATCTTAGATCTGTGTCACGTGATTATCTTACGGGGTAGGGCGCTCGCCGCTTGGGGCAGGTTGCCTCCGCGAGTTCGAAGCTTCGTCTTGGATTTGTTCTTCTTTCTCTGAATCACACTTGGGACTGTGTTTATTGAGTCTTGAGGTGGAATGAGAATTTTGTCATGGAATATTGTAAGTCTTTGTTTTGAATGTCTGCCGCGTGCTTATTAGCTTCGACGCGTCGAGACAGAATGGAATCCGTACGCTGCCTCAATATCATCCGTATGCAACTCTACAGCATCTATGATACCTCATTTGACGTGTTCTTAGATGGAATGCAATGAAGGATTGTCAAGGCATTCTTGACGAGGTTGGTGCGGACATCATTTGCTTTCAAGGCAGGTTTCTGTTCAACGGAGTTCGACGTGACCCTGCTCACGAATTAGTGACCTAGAGATGAAGACTACACGCGCAGCGCTGCCTAGAGACGTTGCTATACCCGACAACTATACGTCCTTCTTCTCGTTTCCTGTGTCAAAAGGCGGCTACAGCGGCGTGGCCGTCTACACAAAGTCCTCTGAAGTCGTACCGTTAAAGGCTGAGGAAGGTCTGTCTGGGAGACTCCAGCCAAAGCCACCGCTCTCTGCAGAGGAGCGCATCTCACAGACATATCCATCTGTGAACGACGTTGCAGCATATCCCGACGAGGACGGCGACGTTCCTGGGACCTTTGACGCTCTCGATTCCGAAGGCCGCGCGCTGGTATTGGACTTTGGACTCTTCGTGCTGGTCAATGTTTACTGCCCAAACGAGACTTCCGACGCTCGGCTTCCATTCAAGATGAACTATCATCTTCTAGTCGCGGAAAGGGTCCGACGGTTCATTGACGAAGGACGCGAGGTCATCGTTATGGGAGACATGAACATTTGTGCGACACCACAGGACCATTGCGATGGACACCTGACGAGCGTGAGAGAAGTTTTCTGGGACCATCCAGCGCGTGCTTGGTTCCGACATTGGTTAGATCCGGATGGGCCTATGGTCGATGCCGTACGCACCTTCTGGCCTGCTCGAAAAGGGATGTTCACTTGTCAGTGCGTTCACAGTACGTTCACGCATTATGGAAGTGTAATTTGTCTTGCAGGTTGGAACCTGCGGACACAAGCACGCGAGACTAACTACGGTACTCGGGTCGACTACATCCTGGTCACCAAGGGTCTACTCAAGTGGGTCAAACACGGTGATATCCAGCCTTCAGTGAAGGGCTCCGACCACTGTCCGATTTACATTGATCTGCACAACGAGATTACTCTTGACTGTGGAGAAACGGTCAAGCTGCGAGACGCAATGAAGCAGTGTCATGAGCCGAAAGCCGTCCCTCGGGTGGCAGCGAAGAGCTGGGAGGAGTTCTCCGGCAAGCAGACTCGACTGTCCACATTCTTCGGCAAGAAGAACGGTGTCAAGTCACCAGCTGACAAGCCAGCCGAGCCCAGTCGACCAATTCGTCCGCCCCGTACCATAGCTCCCGGAGTGAATGCCGAGGCTGGGCCCTCGACCCTGACCCGCAAGACCTCTTCACCACGACCTGCAGAGACGCCGGCCAAGAAGCGCTCTCTCCCACAAGCGAACTCGCCTACGGTCACAAAGAAGCTAAAGAAGGATCCGGGTCAACAAAAGCTCGGGTCTTTCTTCAGCAAGCCTGCCGCTACCAAAGACGGATCCGTGGGCAAGCGGCAAGCCGAGGTCATTGAGCTCAACAGCGACTCGGAGCCGTCTTTGACGCAAACCACTGACAGGGCTAACGACGCTGACCAACTGGAAGCAGACTTCCAACTGGCGTGCGAGCTGGCCTCATCGCAGGAGAACATCTCGACACCCTCGTCGACATTGTCGCTGCGCTCACCGTCGGAGAGCAGGGCCGCGTGGGCCGACGTCTTCGCGCCTGTGAAGCCACCGAGTTGCACTGTGCATGACGAACCCGCACGGCGATATACGGTGAATAAACCTGGACCGAATAAGGGCAGGTTATTTTATTTATGCTCTCGGTCGGTCAAAATCGTGTGCTCTCTGTATGTGGAATCAGCTCATACTGTTTAATAGACCTGTTGGTCCGGGATACGACAAAGGCAAAGGCGAACGATTGCGGCACGAAGTCAATCGTGAGTTTCGGTGTGATTACTTCAAGTGGGCGAACGACTTGAAGCAGGAACGCTCCGGACCGAAGAAGCCGCCATGACTTCTCCGTGTTCATGTATCTCTGTATGTTTCTATTAGAACGAAATTCTAGATTCAGCCTTGTTGGGCAGTGTTAGCTGGTCACTCACTCGTACACTGGCACCATATCCGACGGTGCCAAACAGTGTTACGGCTCCGAAGTTGTAAAGAATGGGGCAGCTCAACAGGTAAGCTAATTGTTTTTGACGCACACATTCTTGCACATAGTCCGCGTCGGCCGTTTTGTAAAACTGCGACGGGGAACTCACTGGAGCTAGTACCTGAGAAACCGAGGTCAGACGCATAGTTGAGGTCATGTGTCGGGCAAGCGACTAAGTCGCTGATTCCCGCTGTTCTATAGCGCCATTGCTTATGATGTTACGGGGAGGGCCCTCGAGGGTTAGTTCTCTTGGCTCCAGCGCTCTTCCTGACAGACGTGGACCTTATAATGATGGTTGGCCCCAGTTGATTTGCGGTGTTCGTGCACCCTCTCCCCCCTTTACAACCTGCCAGTCCAGTGACTCCAGTTACATCTCTCTCCATGTGTTGTGACAACCTGATAAAACGACCAAATTCATGGAGACACGCTCGATCTGCTTCAACGATCCCTGGTCTTTCTCTAAAGGAAAGGCAGCAGCTTCATGTAAGTCACATATGCACATGATCCTCGATGTCAGATAATAAACACTTTATTAGGAGAGCATACACTCTGCAGCGCGGAAGTACCTAGACAATGTGTCGTGGCGCAGGCAGACTCCAGAGAAGACAGCATATTTCATGAGAGAGGTAGGTAGCCTGTATATCTTTGTTTATAAAGCTAAACAGTCACAAACTAGATTGTTGAAAAACTTCCTTTCCTGGCCCGATATGAAGATGCATGGCCTGCTGAGGGCTGTATGCGGGAACATCTGATGCGGCGGAAAGACCGAGATCAAAGCATCAATTGCGCACCCATCGGGAGAGTTAGGCCTAGGAGACATGATGCTATAATGCGAAACAAAAGCCCCGCCCTGCAGGTGAACAATTATATTCCACTTTTGAGGCACAGCAGCTGATTCGAATGTGTCCCTGAAGGCTGAGCATGCGAAAGGGCCGGAATTCGGGAACCTGGCACCCAGACGACGTACGGGCGAAGATGCGGTGCGAGCATTCCTCAAGTCGATTAGCCCTAGGATGGATGGACTCGCGCTTGTCTTCGTACAAGGTGGCATCGTGGACGAGGAGCATGTTGAAGCTTTGGCGAATTTTCCGGAGGCGGAGCAAGTCAAGTTCCTCAGGCGAGACTTGGAGCTGAATGCTTTGCAGGCGAGGATCGTACGGCTCGCTCTTCTCGCACGTAAGGCAAGCTCATCCAAAACCCCGTCGCGAATTGGGTAAGGTCCCACCGACTGCGAGTTGACGAGAGGACGCGTCTTCGGGTTGTCCGTCGAAAAGCAGTGGCTGTATTTTGTATCGTCTACTTTCATATCAAAAGCTTGGGCTAGACACTGAACGTTGACTTTGATTTTTCCGAGTCTATCACGAAATGTGTGTTTGAGCTTTTTGGCTGGACGGCCGGACCGATGATTGTGACGTAGTTCGCTTGTCACACCTCGAATATTTAGCGAATTTCTCCTGAATTGTGCGTTCGTCACCGACTTCGAGTATCATCACGATCGATATCGTATCTATTCTTTCGCTCACTGACTCGCAAGCATGGGTCATCTCATAACCGTCGCAACGTGAGTCTATGCCTTTGGATCCTTCTACATTGACCGAATGCCTTACACAGATGGTACGCACTCTAGGGCTTGATAGCTGGGATTTCAGTACGATATGTACTTTACAGCTCACTGAATCAATGGGCTCTGGACTTCGAGGTACATTTCTTTCAGGAAGCCTCTAGCCGATTAATCCGAGTCGCCCTGTACAGGGGAACTTCGAACGTATCATGCAAAGCATACGAATCGCCAAAGAACGCGGTGCGACGATGAGAGTAGGCCCAGAGCTTGAGATCACGTTAGTGGATATCCACAAAAATTACCTATTCTAAAAGTTCTCTAGCGGATATGGGTGCCTGGACCACTTTCTCGAGGGTAAGCGTTTGTTCAGATGGCTTCAGGCCGTCATTCATCCATGCTCTCCAGGCGATACTGTACTACACTCCTGGGAAGTGTTGGCGAAGATTCTGGCAGCTCCAGAAGCGGAAGGCATACTCTGCGACATTGGCATGTGAGTCGACCGCTTCTCAGGAGAAGTGACGCCCTCCCTCACCGTGGAAGATAGGCCTGTTGTGCATAAGAATGTCATATACAATTGTCGCGTGATCGTCTATAACCGCAAGATCATTCACATCCGACCTAAAATGTGGCTAGCAAACAACGGAAACTACAGGGAACTGCGCTACTTCACGCCATGGATGAAGCATCGCCAAGTTGAGGACCACTACCTTCCCCGTATCATTGGCCACGTTACAGGACAGGTTAGTATATAAAACCTTCTTCCATCGAATCTTGTGTTGAGAGATAACGTAGACGAAAGTTCCGTTTGGAGATGCAGTCGTGAGCACTTCAGACACCTGCATTGGCGTCGAGTTATGTGAAGAGCTTTTTACTCCTTCAAGGTGACAGAGTCTGCATTCATTTTTGTGCTTATGTGCATATTAACACATTAAAAGCCCACACATCCTCATGGGTCTCGATGGCGTTGAGATCTTCACTAACTCGAGCGGGAGCCATCATGAGCTGCGCAAATTATACACTAGAGTAGAGCTGATCAAAGAGGCGACACTCAAGGTAACTGTAACGATCCTTTAGACGCACAGCACGCTGACGGTCTCTAGCTCGGTGGAATTTACCTGTACGCTAATCAACAAGGATGCGATGGAGACCGGCTTTATTATGACGGCTGTGCGATGATTGCGGTGAACGGCAGGATTGTGGCTCAGGGATCCCAATTCTCTCTCAACGATGTCGAGGTTGTTACCGCCACCGTCGACCTAGAAGATGTCCGCTCTCACAGAGCAATCAGCAGCCGGAGCATGCAGGCCGCAAGTGCAGAGCGATATGAGCGCATCGAGGTCGACTTCGCTCTGTCTGGTGGAAAGTTTGACAGCGTTAGAGACCTGGACGATATCGTTCTGCACATGTATGAGCCACGCTACCATAAACCTGAGGAAGAGATCGCGTAAGTAAGCCTCTGCGCCGCCGATACTGGAGAACTCAAATGCACGAATAGTCTAGGCCCTGCATGTTGGCTGTGGGACTACCTTCGTCGCTCGCGGACCCAAGGTTACTTTGTTCCTTTGAGTGGAGGCATTGATAGCTGCGCAACAGCCGTCATCGTGTACTCCATGTGTCGTTTAGTCGCAGAAGCTGCTCAAAGAAGAGGTATGGCTCGAGCTATGTAGTGCGCGCACTTACGCTGATAAAGCGTTCTTAGACCAGCAAGTCATCTCAGATGCGCGTCGCATCGCTGGCTTGCCAGAAGATTCCGATTATGTCCCTCAAGATGCACAAGAATATTGTAACCGTATCTTTCACACGTGCTATATGGGCACTGAGAACTCCAGCGCTGAGACTCGTGGGAGAGCCAAGGCACTAGCTGAAGCTATCGGCAGGTGAGCACCCTACAGAGGGAGAGTTGATTATCTTGCTTAATATAGACAGCTATCATACCGACCTCAACATGGACACTGTAGTCACTGCGGTACGGAACTTGTTCGCGATGGTCACTGGAATCAAGCCACGCTTCCGTGTTCACGGAGGCTCTTCTGCAGAGAATCTCGCTCTGCAAAACATACAAATAAGCGTCCTCTTTTCTTTGTATGAACTATACCCTGAGATATATTACAGGCAAGATTGCGTATGGTCGTTGCATACTTGTTCGCTCAACTTCTGCCATGGGTTCGGGGTCGCAACGGCGGTCTTCTCGTGCTTGGCAGCGCCAATGTCGATGAAAGGTAATCTTGTCCTCAGACTGAGACGGCAAGCTAACAGCCCTTCCTAGTCTACGTGGCTACCTCACCAAGTACGACTGCTCGTCAGGTTGGTCATGACTCCTCTGTTAACTTTCTGAGGATATTGATATACAGCTACCAGCCGATATCAATCCCATTGGCGCTATCAGTAAGACGGACTTGAAGAGATTTATCGCCTACGCAGAACGAGCGTTCAATCTACCGGTCCTGCATGAGTGCGTTCCAAAAAATTTCCCAATTGTGGGACCGCACTCAACCCGTAGCCTAGCTTCTTGACAGCCGTACCTACAGCCGAGCTAGAACCCATTACCGAGACCTATGTTCAGGCTGACGAGGTCAGTGGTGCTCATGTCACTCATCCGACTCTTGCTGAACGTCAGCAGGCCGACATGGGCATGACCTACGATGAACTTTCTGTCTTCGGAAGATTGCGCAAGGTCGACAAGTGCGGCCCGTACAGCATGTTCACTAAGCTCGTACACGAGTGGGGCTCGTTCCTGTCGCCTACTAAGGTGCACCTCATCACCATCGAAAGTTGCTGTGCCTGCTAACAACTGTGGCTAGATCGCTGAGATAGTCAAGCATTTCTTCTTCGAATACGCCAGGAACAGGCATAAGATGACCACGTTGACCCCGTCGTACCATGCGGTCAGTATCGAACGCATTGTATAGTAACCGAGACTGACCTCTCTGCAGGAGCAATATAGCCCTGACGATAACAGTGCGTGTTCTTAACCAGAGTAGTACTTTGTGCTCATGGTTCCCATAGGGTTTGATCTTCGTCCATTCTTATATCCTTCGAGGTTTCCCTGGCAATTCAAGAAAATCGATGCTATCGCCGCTACCTTACCCGACAGGAGTATCACCTCTCCGGAGGAAGCAAGAAAGAAGCTGACATAAAGCCCTAGATGTACAGGACGCGCATTCAATAGATAGTAAGTGGCCCTAGACAATGCGGAGGCATCTAAATGCTGACAAGAGGGATACAGATGGGCAATACATGTATTATAAGCTACAACACCGTGCGTCCAGGATGAAAAGAGAATCAGAGTGGATTGGATAAGTCTCGAGGTTATGTCCGTTGTAAGAAACGGGAAAGAACGCCCTGTATCGCGATCTTCTTCATGATAGTCGGCTCTTCCGCTGCAAGTAACAATGAATAGGGGTAGCAGATAAAATAAAATAAAACGCACGATCTTGCAAATCCTCCTCTTTTACCTTTCGCTTGATGCTTTCCATGACCTCGCTGACTGCGGAACGATCAAAATCTCCGCGTGCCTTCATAATGTTCTCTACGAAGGCAATGTTCGGTCCGTGCACCTTAGCGAAGGACCAGTACGAGAGGAAGACCAAGCTCTTGGAGGCTTCGAGCAACGACAGGATCTGCTCCAGGACTTCTAGCCGAGGTTCCAGTTCCTTGGACTTCTTGTACGCGCCGAAAAACTTGTAAACCTCCGAGATATCATCCTTTACCCGCTCTGACGCGGCTGGCATCTTAAGCTTCGGTGCGTTGGCGAGCGCCGTGATATAATTGACGAGGAAAGCGTCAAGTAGGTCTTCGACGAGCAGGTCGAAGAGCGACTGATTGAGGTATGTCTCGTAGTCGGACATGTAGTCCCGTACTGTCTCGACGATTTGAGCCATGATACCGTCGTACCAGGGTGGCTGGAAGAGTTGCTTTGAGGCTGGTTTGAGGTCATGGAAAATCATATCGATCAACGTCTGCGTGCACTTCTTTGCGACGTCGAGGTAACCGTCGATGGCGTCGTTCAGGCGGTCGTGGATGGCGCCCTGGTACTTCTCGGAGACCAGCGGCTCAATACGTCCAGATAGCGTCTCGGCGAAGTCGGCGGCACGGAGCTGATCGTTCGCCAGTGCGATGCAGTACTCGACGAGACCGCTCGCGACTTCTTCGGGTTTCTCGGTGTGCTTCTTGAACTCCACGTCGATTAACCGCGTCCATTGCTCCTGTATCCCGCGCATAACCCGGCCAATCTCCTCGACTACGCGAGCGAGGATGATCCCCTGATTGCTATCCATCGCCGCATCGACCTGCTGATTGACCATCTGGAAGAGAATGACGGCTCCCTGCATGCCGTACAGGCCGTCGCTGTCCACCTCAGGCGGCTCTGCGCGCGTCGAGAAAGCCTCAATCTCGGTCCTCATCAAGTTCTTCGTCCACTCGTCGAGCTTGCTGACGATGAGCGCAAGGTAGTCCTCGATTAAACTCTGCTCGTTGCCATCGAGGAGTGGGGGATCCATTGCTTCGGGTGGGACGTTCAGTTCCTTCATGTTCTTCTTGTACTCCTTGATCCAGCCATGCAAGACGAGAAGTATGCTGGCCTCCGGATCCGTCGTCATAATCTTATTGATCGAGGCGTTCAGCGCCTTGTGGTATTCCCGCGCATACTGCAGGTATATGGCGTGGTCCGGAGGAAAACAAGGTGCTACTTCTTCCTCAATTCGGATGAGGTCTTGATAGATCCACGTTGTGTTCTCCAGGAAAGCGACAGGATCGCCGCCTTCTCGTTCGTGTGCGTCGTCAAACCTTTGTTGCACGGACTCGGTGATAGCCTTCTGTAGCTTCGAGTGATAGTACTTGAGGACACGAGCATTGGCTTGCATTGAACGAAACTTGGACGCGACGTCCATCTTCGCGGCCTTCTTGACCAGTTTGAGAGCTATGGCCTGGGAGCGAGAATTTGGTCAACTCTCGAACATTCTCCGTCATATTGGTACTAGCCTTTTGATCCTCCTTGCCTTCAATCTCTATAATCTTCAACAACTTAACGATGACGTCGGGGTGACCTGCGCGGACGATAGGGAGAATGTTGCGTGCAAGGGCATAAATATATTCGTCAAAGGCATTGATGAGCTGGTTCAAGCGGTCGAAGTAACGCGTAAGAGTTGCCCGGACTTCCTTCGAGGACCTCTTCGCCTGGTGCATCGTCTGGTTCCTGAACGCCTCGAGACGATTGATTTGGTAGTGAATGCGGAGCAGATTTGGTGCGGGGCCCAGAATATCTTCACTGTCCGCAGACAGCATGTTTTCGAGGTCGTCAAGCTTCGAGCTCATTGCAATGAGGTTGTTCACCATCTCCTCCGTTTGTTCGAAGTTACGGTGCACCATAGAGACCTATGTCGCATGAGTCTCTTAGTGCCTCACCGACAGTTACGCTAGAATGCACTCACACGACTGATTTGGTCAAACGTCGAAACTACGATCTTTGGGTCGTTGCACATCTTGTCCATAGCCTGCACCTCGTCCTTGACACCCTGTATGTTACCCCGAGTACTGAACAACTTCCTGAGCCCACTGCGCGTCGCATCGAGCTGTTCCTTCACACCATTCTTCAGCCGGACATCTATCGACGCCTTCTCCTTCTCGAGTTTCTTTCTGAACGCAGCGAGCTTCAGTAGGTCATCTGGCGATTGCAGGAACTCGCCAACTGCTTGGGCGGCCGATACAGGGGTTGCCATAGACATCGTGGTCGTTGAAGAGCGCAGCAAGTCACCCAGGTATTAAATACTTTCTGACCCGAGGCCCGCAGTGAGAGGTAGAGGTAAAGTTGTCTGCAGCGAGCTGTGCACGCGCGCTTGCCGAGGCTGCTGTGAAACTTGAGCCTTCTGTCCCAGCAGATCGTCCTGGGTGTTTCAACTTTGCAGGGAAGGGCTCACTGCCTCGGACGTTCACAAGTCCTTCGCCCAGTATGCACCGGAGGGAGAGGTAATTCTTCAAGATAGACAGGCTATATAAACCTGTTGCTCAGTGCCCTTCGACGAGAATCCGGCGCTTCCTGCACTTCACCAGCAAGCTCGGCCAATTGCAAGTGATTAACAGGACGCGTCTCAGAGGCAATGGTGCCAAATTGGGGCGTGTTCCACGGCAGCGGCCGTTTCGCAGATGGGGGGTAAGTAGGCGCGGAGCCGGCAGCGTCAGATGGGCGCCCCGCCTTTTGCCATTTCCAGTGAAGGCATCGCGCGACGTCTCGCGTTCTTCATTCTCTATACTCCATGTTGCATAACATCGCACGCAGAGCTAGGCACAAAGTTCTGAGAAGGCAATTTGCGACAGCAGCAGAGCAGACCGAGCGTGATGTAGTGATTGTCGGCGGTGGACCTGCAGGACTGGCTCTCGCGAGTGCCCTCGGTGAGCCTCGGCACGTACATACAGGGTGTTAATGCTCATGCGTCATGTAGCGCGGTCGAAGTCAGTGCATAATAATCTGTCAATTGCGCTTGTAGAGGCTGGAGATCTCCAGAAAGTGCGCGACTGGCAGCAAGAGCCCGGGACCTTCTCCAACCGGGTGAGTTCAATTACCAACAGCTCGAAAGCGTTCCTTGAGGGTGAGTTCGCACAACATGCCTTACGTTTTGGCTAACGTCTGCACGCAGACATCGACGCATGGAGTCACATAGAACAGTCCAGAACACGTCCCGTCGAAGAAATGCAGGCCAGTCTGCTTGGCATATGCGCCGCCTGTGGGCTGATCTTGTTCTAGGTTTGGGACGGAATCTCGGATGCACGCATCACATTCGCTGCCTCCGAGCTGTCAACAAGTACTGTCAACGAGCTATCTCGATTGACTGAAAATTTGAATCTGCAGCGTGGGCTGCTGCGACACCTCTCCCAGTACCCCGAAGTGCAGCTTTTCGATAAGGTCAAAGTGCAATCTATCGTCTGCGAGGCTCGCGAAGAGAACGCTTGGCCAGTCGTCCATCTTTCAGATGGCCGGGCTATTCGTGCCCGTTTGCTCGTAAGCCGTATCGTTATGTATATTATATCCTGCTACAACCGCACAGGTCGGTGCAGACGGCTTCAACTCGCCAGTGCGAACATATGCTGGCATACAATCTTATGGCTGGGCATATGATACCCAAGGCATTGTCGCGACACTCTTCCATGCACCGAAATCGTCCTATCAAGGACCAAACACAATTGCATATCAGCGGTTCCTGCCCACAGGTCCTATTGCTTTCCTGCCGCTATCCGAGACGGCGTCCACACTAGTCTGGTCCACAAAGCCACACCTGGCTAATGCCCTGAAAGCAGCAGATCCGCGTATCCTCGCAAGCATGATCAACGCTGCATTCCGGCTACCGAATATCTCGTTGCGATATTTGCAGGACCGTATCCTCGAGGATCAGGCTATGTCCGTTGAACAATTCACGAATGAGCTCGCGTTCCGTGAACGTTCAGACACGATCGACGTCCGCTCGGCATACTCGTCGCTCGCCCCTATCCGCGATAATGTCGGAGGCATCCCACCAGAAGACGCAGATTCTGTTCCTCCTCTTGTAACAAGTATCCAGCCTGGCACCGTCGCATCCTTCCCTCTGCGGTTCTCGCATGCTGAAACGTATACTGGCGAAGGCTCTGGTGCACGCACGGTACTTGTTGGCGATGCGGCACATACGATACACCCGCTCGCAGGACAAGGTCTAAATCTCGGCTTGGCGGACGCGGAGGCCTTGACGAAGTGCATTGAAAATGCGCTGCTGTCTGGCGGGGACGTCGGTGCGTAGCGCCCGTCGAAATGCCCATCTCGCAATAACTCACCATTGTCACAGGCTCGTACACGTCTCTGTTACCCTATGCCCGCTCGAGGTACTTTGAGAATCACAAGATGCTGTCCGCTTGCGATAAGCTACACAAGTTGTATTCGGCAACCGCGGGTCCTGTCGTCTGGGCGCGGAGTGTAGGGATTGAAGTTCTGAATGAGCTTGACGCAATTAAGGCGGCGCTCATGATGACGGCTGGAAGTGAGCGTGCTGGGCTGCCAGGACAGGTCGGATGGGAACTCACGGCGAAAAGTGTTGAGACGTTTGCGAAGAATGTAAATGGGGCGCGGGAGCTGGCAGACACCGTGAAGGATCTTCTGGGCGTAGGTGTTCGTCAGCTGCTGCAGAGACGATAGGGTTTGGCTTCGTCGGTGTATTCTTTGTCTTTAGGGCGTAATTAATGCTTTTACCTTGAGCCTAACATGGAGAGCGGTGGGCTAGCCAATAAAGGCCTTTTGCGAATTCGAATACCATACGACTTCACGAAGAGCTGATGGGAGCGATGCGTGCTCCGAATAAAGTAAACTCGTGGTCATATCGCCGTTGCAGAGCGCACATTGGACATCACTTCATGGTTTCTCTCGGACTCCGACAGCTAGATCTTGCGCTGGAAATGCGAGAACAACGTGTAAAATTGGGTAAGACGGCAGGCACGTCGGATGACGTTGCAAAGACATTCTCCCCAAACATTCTGACCGCTGACCGCGCAAACGCCTGGTACAACCTTATCTATCGCTCCGAGTCTTGGAGTCTGTCTTGTGCAAGGCGAATTATTGAGATTCCACATTTTTTTGATTTCGACGCGCGCTACCGGTCATTTTGTCAATGGTATCACGTAAACGCCCAGGTATAATGTTGGGGATCCCCAGTCTGCATCTTTTAAAGGCCTTTCGTCCTTTCGCTCGTTTCCCCTCACTCTTCCCTTCGTTCACGAAAGGGCGAAATCTTGGCTGGTTTCCGCTCCCCACGACATCATGACGAGCTACGACCACTCAAAAGTAGCCCACTTCATCGGTACGCCTTGTGCAAACGGTCGAAGCTAATCCGCGGGGAAGGCTGAAGTCGTACTCGTTCTGCAGGTGGAAATTCTCTTGATAAGGCCCCAACAGGCCCTGTCACAGACTTTGTGAAGAGCCATGGAGGACACACAGTCATCACAAAGGTGAGTGTATAGTTCTGTACGCTTTGTGTCGGCTCCTCCTTCACGGTCATTGGCCGGCTACTGGGGCACATGTCGGTCGCATGTTGGCTCTTGAGGCGGAAATAGAGGCAGGAGTGCAAGCGTACTATTGCTGGGATCACACGGGAATGCTTAGCATGGCTCCTGTCGTCTGGTCAGGCCATCTCTTCTTGCAGCTGCCGCCTCATTTGCCCAGCCTTCGCCTCGCAATACCTTCGCGTCGCTTTGCCTATGGCGCCGGGAACCGCTGGCCTTTGCGCCCCTTGACGAGCAAGAAGCGCAACGCGGAACTTGCTCTGCGCGTCAAGAACGCGTCGGTTAGCATTATGACCTGGACCCGGGTACAATACGTCGCCAGGTAGTCCTAGCAAGGCTACTTTCTTTCCGGCGCTGTTACCTTCAGATTCTGGAGGATTTTCACGAGGATCGGAACCCAATCCACTTTCTTCCCCGTTGATGTATCAGCGTACTGACTGCAGTCGATAATCTTAGGTTCTCATCGCGAATAACGGTATCGCTGCCGTGAAGGAGATCCGTTCGATCAGGCAATGGAGTTATGAGTCGTTCGGCACAGAGCGCGCCGTCGAATTCACCGTTATGGCGACTCCTGAGGACCTGAAAGTCAATGCAGAATATATTCGCATGGCGGATCAATACATCGAGGTCCCCGGAGGCACGAACAACAACAACTACGCCAACGTGGACCTCATTGTTGAAGTTGCTGAGCGCGCTGGCGTACACGCTGTCTGGGCTGGTTGGGGTCACGCGTCGGAGAACCCGCGACTCCCTGAGACTCTCGCCGCAAACAAGATCGTCTTCATCGGCCCCCCTGGTAGTGCCATGCGCAGCCTCGGAGACAAGATTTCGAGCACTATTGTCGCCCAGAGCGCGGATGTTCCGACCATGGCCTGGTCAGGAACAGGTATTTCGGACACAGTGCTCTCGGAGCGGGGATTCGTTACCGTCGCCGACGACGTCTTCAAAAAGGCATGCGTCACAACTGTCGAAGAGGGTCTCGAGCGCGCTCAGCAGATCGGATGGCCAGTTATGATCAAGGCAAGCGAAGGTGGTGGAGGAAAGGGTATTCGAAAGGTTGAGCGCCCAGAAGACTTCAAGAACGCCTTCCACGCTGTGGCCGGCGAGATCCCAGGTGAACTCCTTATACGGACGCTGTTAGGAAATGACTAACATCTTACACCGTAGGTTCCCCAATTTTCATCATGAAGCTTGCTGGCCAGGCCCGTCACCTTGAGGTTCAGCTGCTGGCTGACCAATACGGAAACGCTATCTCGCTCTTCGGGCGAGACTGCTCCGTCCAGCGCCGTCACCAGAAGATCATTGAGGAGGCTCCGGTTACTATCGCCAAGGAGGAGACTTTCTCAGAGATGGAACGTGCTGCAGTTCGTCTCGCGAAGCTTGTTGGATACGTCAGTGCAGGAACCGTAGAGTGTGAGTTTGGGCATTATCGTTCAGAATCGTTCGTGCTGACGCATCTCTATAGACCTGTACAGTCACGCTGAGGACGTCTTCTATTTCCTTGAGCTCAACCCCCGTCTCCAGGTCGAGCACCCCACCACTGAGATGGTCACTGGTGTCAACCTGCCGGCTGCTCAGCTCCAAGTCGCCATGGGTATACCACTGCATCGGATTCGCCACATCCGTCAACTTTATGGCGTTGCTCCGCATGGCACCTCCGACATCGACTTTGACATGGTCGATCCAGATGTGAGCAAGGCTCAGCGCAAGCCGCGTCCCAAGGGCCACGTTGTCGCTGTCCGTATCACTGCGGAAAACCCCGATGCCGGCTTCAAGCCGTCTTCGGGCGCACTGCAGGAGCTCAACTTCCGCTCGAGCACGAACGTCTGGGGCTACTTCTCCGTGAACGGTGCAGGCGGTCTGCACGAGTTCGCCGATTCACAATTCGGCCACATCTTCGCTTACGGCGAGGATCGTAACGAAAGTCGCAAGAACATGGTGGTCGCTCTCAAAGAGCTCAGCATTCGCGGCGACTTCCGCACCACGGTCGAGTACCTCATCAGGCTCTTGGAACTGCAGGCGTTCCAGGAGAACACTATCACTACCGGCTGGCTCGACTCTCTGATCAGCGACCGGCTGACCGCTGAGCGACCCGGATCGACTTTGGCCGTCGTCTGCGGCGCCGTCACAAAGGCCCATCTTGCGTCGCAGGCGAGCTGGGATGAGTACAAGCGCATCCTCGACAAAGGTCAAGTTCCTTCTAAGGACGTGTTGAAGACTGTCTTCTGCATAGACTTCATCTACGACAATACCCGCTACTCTTTCACCGCATCGCGCTCTTCTCTGATCCTGTGGACCCTGTACCTCAACGGTGGCCGCACCGTTGTCGGCGCTCGCCCTCTTGCAGACGGTGGTCTCTTGGTATTGCTCGATGGAAAGAGTCACTCGGTGTACTGGCGAGAGGAAGTCGGTGCTCTGCGTGTTATGATCGATCAGAAGACCTGTTTGATTGAGCAGGAGAATGACCCAACTCAGCTTCGCAGCCCGAGTCCTGGCAAGCTTGTTCGGTTCTTGGTCGATAGTGGTGATCATATCAAGGCTGGCGAGGCGTACGCCGAAATTGAGGTGCGCTTCTGCGATTTTTGTGCGCATATAGTCAACTGACAATTTTTTCTTCACAGGTCATGAAGATGTATATGCCTCTGGTCGCCTCTGAAGACGGTACCGTTCAGTTCGTCAAACAGCCCGGTGTCAGCCTGGAGCCTGGAGACATCCTCGGTATTCTCACCCTCGATGACCCTGGCCGTGTCAGACACGCCAAGCCTTTCGAGGGCCTCCTTCCCCCCATGGGCAATCCTGCCGTCATTGGCAACAAACCGCACCAACGCCTTTCCTACTGCCTGGGCGTCCTTAACGATATCCTCGATGGCTTCGACAACCAGGCGATCATGGCACAGATGCTCAAAGATCTCCTCGACGTCCTCAACGACCCGGAGCTTCCGTTCTCGCAGACATCGTCCATTCTCTCTACGCTCTCTGGTCGTATGCCTCAGAAGCTCGAAGATAGTATCCGCTCCACGATTGACACCGCTAAGTCCAAGGGTGAGGGCGCTGAATTCCCTGCTGTGCGCATCAAGAAGATTTTGGAGCACTTCATGCAAGATAACGTCCGGCCTCAAGACCGCGCAATGTTCCGTACGCAGCTTGCCGCGCTCTTCGACATTGTCGAGCGCTTCCAGGGCGGCCTCAAAGCGCATCAGGTTGAAGCCCTCGCAAGCCTGCTCGCCAAGTACGAGGAGACTGAGAAGCTGTTTGGTGGTAGCATCGAGGCGCGCGTCCTTCAGCTACGTGAGCAGCACAAGGACAACCTCGACAAGGTCGCCGGACTCGTCCTCAGCCACATCATGGCATCCAGGAAGGGCAAGCTTATCATGGCGATCCTTGATCATGTCCAGAACAGCGGCTCGACCGTCTCTAATCCCGACACCAAGTTGTACCAGGCACTGCAGGGCCTAGCAAGCCTTGAAAACAGGTATATTCAAACTTTTACGGTGGTAACGGGAGTTTCTGACGCATATGTCGCAGGTCTTCGACCCAAATTGCTCTCAAGGCCCGTGAGGTCTTGATCGCCTGCCAGATGCCTTCCTACGACGAGCGTAAGACGCAAATGGAGAGCATACTTAAGTCTTCGGTCACCAGTAGTTACTACGGCGAGCAGGGTGTTAGTGCAAGGCAAGTGGTTGTTGGCAATATTTTGCGGATTTTAGACTAACCATATCTCCAGGACCCCATCTGTGGAGATTCTTCGCGAGCTGGTTGACTCTAGGTACACCGTTTATGACGTTCTCCCTACATTCTTCGACCATCCGGATCATTGGGTCTCACTCGGTGAGTAATTTTGCCTGTACACCATTGCTGCCCGCTGAATGCTGTATAGCGGCCCTTGACGTCTACGTTCGTCGCGCATACCGTGCATACAGCCTTCTTTCTATCGATTACGAGGAAGGGGACGCGGATGAGACCGAGGTCCCGAGCGCCGTTACTTGGCGCTTCAACCTTGGCCAGTCGCGCTCTCCGCCGTCGACACCCATAATCGGCAAGGGGTGAGTTGAGCTGCATCTTAGTCGCGTCATTCACAAGCTGAGGATTATGTTTATTAGTGAGCCTCCTCGCAGACAGGCATCGGTCAGCGACTTGAGTTATATGATTGACACCCACCAGAAGCAGCCCCTTCGAACTGGTGCCCTTGCGTCGTTCCCCGACTTCGAAAGCCTGTCCCGTGGTTTTGATTACGTCGCAGAGCTGTTGCCCACTTTCGACGCCGCAGAATATCGTCAGCGCTACGGCGATAACCAGCCACCCAACGTGCTCAACTACGCCCTTCGTATCTTCGATGCCAAGGACGACATGAGTGAAGATGCCTGGTACCACAAAATTGTCGATCTCGTCAACAACAAGAAGGACGTTCTCTTGCAGCGCGGAGTGCGCCGCGTTTCCATTCTTCTCTGCCGCCCTGGCCAGTACCCACTTTACTTCACGCTCCGCGACATGGACGGCAACTGGGGCGAAGAGCAGGCTATTCGTCATATTGAACCCGCTCTTGCCTTCCAGCTCGAGCTCAGCCGCCTCTCGAATTACAAGCTTACTCCAGTCTTCGCTGAGAGCAAGCAGCTTCACATCTATCACGCTGTCGCGCGAGAGAACCAGCTCGACAACCGATTCTTCATTCGTGCATTGGTGCGTCCTGGACGAATTCGTGGCAACATCAACATGGCGCAATACCTCATCTCCGAGACCGACCGCCTGGTTACCAACATTCTCGACGCCCTCGAACTCGTAAGCGCGAAGCAACGCAACGCGGATACAAACCATATCTTCATCAACTTCATCTACAACCTGTCCGTCACATACGAGGATGTCCTCGAGGCCATCTCCGGTTTCATCGAGCGTCACGGCAAGAGATTGTGGCGCCTGCATGTCACTGGCTCCGAGATTCGCATTGTGCTCGAGGACAGTGAAGGCAACGTCACTCCTCTTCGGTGCATCATTGAGAACGTCTCTGGTTTTATTGTCAACTTCCACGGGTACCAGGAGATTACCACCGACAAGGGTACCACCATTCTCAAGTCTATTGGCGAGAAGGGACCCCTTCACCTCCAACCGGTGCACTATTCATACCCTACGAAGGAGTCGCTGCAGCCGAAACGTTACCAGGCGCACCTCATTGGCACCACCTACGTCTACGATTTCCCCGAGCTGTTCTCTAAGGCGCTCAGCGACGTCTGGCAGAAAGCAAAGCGCATTAACCCTTCGCTTTCGCTGCCGAAGAAGGTCCTCGAGTCGCGCGAGCTCATTATGGACGAGCACGACCAGCTGCAAGAGGTGGACCGCACTCCTGGCAACAACGCTTGCGGTATGGTCGGCTGGGTTTTCACACTCAGGACGCCTGAGTACCCTCACGGCCGTCGCACAGTCGTCATTGCCAACGATATCACCTACAAGATTGGTTCGTTCGGCCCTGCTGAGGATCACTTCTTCTACCTTGCCTCCGACTATGCCCGTGAGCATGGTTTGCCGCGCATCTATCTCTCGGCCAACTCTGGTGCGCGCATTGGCCTGGCCGAAGAGGTCATGAGTCTGTTCTCTTGCGCCTGGAATGACCCTGCTCACCCCGAGAAGGGCGTCGACTACATCTACCTCACGCACGAGGACTCTCTCAAGCTGCAGGAGAAGGCTCCGACATCCGTGCGCACGGTTGAAATTGAGGTCGGGGGCGAGCGTCGCCACAAGATCACGGACATCATCGGTATGCAAGATGGCCTTGGTGTCGAGTGTCTGAAAGGCTCCGGCTTGATTGCTGGTGAGACCTCGCGTGCCTACGACGACATTTTCACGATCACCCTTGTTACTGCTCGTTCCGTCGGTATCGGTGCTTATCTCGTCCGTCTTGGTCAGCGTGCTGTCCAGGTTGAGGGTCAGCCCATTATCCTCACCGGCGCCTCTGCTCTCAACAAGGTCCTTGGTCGCGAAGTCTACACCTCAAACCTGCAGCTCGGCGGTACCCAGATCATGTACAAGAATGGTGTCTCCCACCTCATGGCCAACAGTGATCTTGAGGGCGCGACGCATATTCTGCAGTGGCTGTCGTACGTCCCTGAGGCCAAGGGTAGCCCTCTGCCCGTCATGGTTACCGTCGACACCTGGGACCGTGATATTGGCTACGTGCCGCCTAAAGGTCCCTACGATCCGCGCTGGTTCATCGAGGGCAAGACTGACGAGAACACCTCGGAGCACCTTTCCGGCTTTTTCGACAAGGGTACCTTCCAGGAGACCCTCAGCGGCTGGGCGCAGACGGTGGTTATTGGCCGTGCGCGCCTCGGTGGCATCCCCATGGGTGTTATCTCTGTCGAAACTCGTACCATCGAGCGCGTCGTCCCGGCGGATCCTGCCAACCCGACGTCCTTCGAGCAGCGCATCATGGAGGCTGGCCAGGTCTGGTACCCCAATTCTGCATACAAGACTGCGCAAGCCATTTTCGACTTCAACCGTGAAGGCCTGCCGCTGATGATCTTCGCGAACTGGCGTGGTTTCTCTGGCGGTCAGCAAGATATGTACGACGAGATTCTCAAGCAAGGTTCCAAGATCGTCGATGGCCTGTCCAGCTATAAGCAGCCGGTGTTCGTTTACATCGTACCCAACGGCGAACTCCGTGGTGGAGCGTGGGTCGTCCTTGATCCCTCGATAAACCCGACCCAGATGGAGATGTACGCCGATGTCGACGCTCGTGCTGGTGTCCTCGAGCCCGAGGGTATTATCGAGATCAAGATGCGTCGTGACAAGATTCTTCGTCTCATGGAACGCCTCGACCCCACATACGCAGCCCTCAAGAAGGCAAGCGTCGATACTTCATCTTCGCAGGAGGAACGGGCAAAATCAATCGAAGAGCTAGATAAGCGCGAAGAGCTCTTACAACCAACGTACAAGCAGATTGCTCTGCTATATGCTGATCTCCATGAGTATGTACAGTCTCCTTTACTCTTACAAATATTGCTGATGATATTCCTCCAGCCGTGTCGGCCGTATGGAAGCCAAGGGTTGTGCCAAACCGATGGAGTGGAAGGACGCTCGTCGCCGCTTCTACTGGGCAGTGCGTTCGAAGGTGGCTTGGTCAGCCGCCATGGCCAAGCTCGCCGAAGCTAGCCCTGACTCTACTGTCGAGTACCGCACGCGCTTGTTGCAAACCCTGGCAGAGGCTGATGAATCAACCGACCGCCGCGAGGCCGCTGAGAAGCTTGAGTCTTTGGATCTGACGGCCACAGTCGCGCAGCTCAAGGCTGACCACCTTATGCGCAGCTTGCTAGCGCTAGCTCAGGAGGATCGGAAGGCGACTATCGGAGGCCTTATCCGCCTCGTTGACGACCTCGAGGACGACGAGAAGGCGTCTCTCGTCAACGCTCTGCAGAACTCTACCCGATCCCCAGGTGCGTAGGGTTACTTCGTGCATATAGGTCTGATTTTGACTCTGTTATAGGTCCGCCATCATATAATGCCGCTTCGTGACTCGTCCTCTTCCTGTCGCTTGCTGTCGTGTTTCGGATGCCCTTCGTGTTGACACCTGTATGATCATATTGTAATACTGTTCTCTGTCCTGTCTTTTCATGCATCTCGCTTTGCACTGGTTCCTACCACTATCAGGCATATTTCAAATGTTGTAGACGTCACACAATGTTATGTCTCTCGCTTTACAGTAACATCTCCGTGCTCTGTGATGATATATCAAGTTAGGGTCGGACAGCTTTGCACAGCCGGCTTACGATAGCTTCAAAGTTTGAGCTTGGAGCCTGAAGGCCTGAAGCTTGAGACTTACTGTTGCTCCGAGTTTGCGAGCAGCGCCGTCGCAAGTGAAATCATCTATCGGAGACCTCCATAAGCAGGCAGCGTTGATGATTGGTGCGAGTCGGCCACAATACTTAGTGCAAGGTATCGGAGTGAAGAAGGGAAGGACTTCGCCGGCGGCGCGGTTGCCGGCGCCGCTGTACTAGTACACTAATATCTGCCGCCTAGTGCACAACTGTCCGAGATGGCAGTCCTAGTGCAAGATATCCCACATCTGCCACTTGAGCTTGATACTTTGTGCGCGCATAAGTCACCATGCAGGAACCATCCAAACATGATCAAGCGGTATCAGTCCCTGCTGATATGGAGGCGATGCATGTATGAAGATAAAAGCTCTCCCTGGACATACAGCCCATTCTAGAGTTCGTTTGCGCTCAGTATGTTTTGCAACCAGACGTGGATCGCTGGGTCGAACTGTACGCCACCAGAGCTCTGGCGCTACGTTCCGCCTTTGCCTTAATTCTACCACCCGTTCCATGGCAATGAGGCCTTAACGTGTCCATCAAACAACAAGCAGACGGATGCTGTGATGGGTCGACACTTCGGGCTCCTCGTGGCGACGGCTAAGCCTGCAAATCATTCCGAGAGAGACATATGCACGACGTCCCAGCTCCGCCGGCTTCGTATGCATATAACCATGTGACTAACCTGTGCGAATCCAATCTTTGTTGGAAACGAAGTTGATGAAGAAGTCGGGCTATCCAATGGTTGAAGCGTTGACGCATAGCTCACCATGGCAGCGTCGAGCTGCTTAAACGCATCGGCCGACGCTGCTGCGACGTCGTCCGTCGTACGCAACAGGCTGAATCCCGTGCGGCGGTAACGGAGCGCCGGTGTAAAATTCGCTCTAAATTAGCAGTAAATCTTTGAAAAATCCCCGAAAATCGAGCACGGTCCACGGAACAGCGGAGATTAATCGCACACTAGCCTTGGTCGTTCTAGTGCTTTGACAAGAGGACCGAAGCCAGAAATTCGAGATACGGCGCCTGTCAGTGGCTTCTGATGGCGGGGGCTGTTTTCGGTAGTTACTATTTGAAGCAGGCTAGACCCAAGCTCGTCTCGCAACGAGCGACGTATTCCTGGGTGCTGCGAACCCATTTTCTTCCGACTTTTCGCCCTGCGTGGGCTCCTGAAGTGGGACAGGGCAAGCAGAACCGATACCCATTTTTATTTTCTTTACCCGGTAACAGCACTTGTTCGGATTTGGAAGTCCTGGAACTGACGGAGCAGAGCCAGATTCTGCTTTACTATTCTTCAGGCGCGACCGCACATTCCCCCACTCTTTTTTTTTGCTAACGACCCTACCTTACCTAACCGACAACACGGCCTTTGATGAAGGCTTCCACCCGGGCACCCAACAGTCACCTTCAGTCCCCCGTCAACGTCCAGGAAGAACATCACTCCCACAACGTCCATCAACACCCGGCTTCTACTCCTCCTGAGACAGCACCCAAACAGTCCTCATTCTCAGCGACCTTTCGCTCAGTCTTTCACCGTCTCCCATCCCGCGCACCCTCCGGAAACTCTCTACATTCTTCCTACGCTGCCGTATCTTCGGCGAGGCTCCAACCACAGCCATCTCAAACACACGAGTACAGACCGCTCCACCCTTACGCAGCAATGGTTGCTGCGCCTCTACCAGTTGTCTCAAGCCAGGACGCGATGGATAACGAAGATGACTGTCCCGTTTGCTTGGAGCCGTTGAGCTTTAGCTTTAGGCTGCCGGGGGAGAAACCACATATCGTGCCAGAATGCGGGCATGCACTGCATGAAGTAAGTTCTCGCCCCCTATTTATCCTGTCTTCTATCGCCCTCCCTCTACCACTCGTCAATACGTCGTCGATGCCGCATTCACCACTAGCCTCGCTCTCGGCTGGATGTGGGCGTTAGAGCGCTGCCTCAGCACGTGGCCTACCATGTCGGACACTGCACGAGGCGACGGCCGTGATCCTTAAGGACGGTCGTTTCTATGACGCGGACGAACGCTTTGCCAATGAGTCAAGGACTCGGCCAGTAGGCTACCCGCCATCACACGACGCCTACACCCGAACTCTCAATCCCCCCAAATTATAAATGCATACGCTAATATTGGCTTTTCTTTGCAGGCTTGCTTCACCGCCGTCTATGGACCACTGCCTGCCAGTCGCGGCGCAGGACAAGTCCTCCGAAAATCGAACTTGGGGGTGTGCGGAGTTTGCAGGCGACCAATGAAGGTCGGGGATGGGGACGGCGGAAAATCAAACAGTGCGTAACCAATAACTTGCGTGCTGACTATGGCTCATAATCCTTTAGAGCTCGCCGCGCTTACTGGCATGGGTGCCGCAAACGACGCATTGTTCCCGGGACGAGACACGCCTTCATCCATCCGCCAGTATCGCGCAGCACCGCCAGCAAAGCCGTATGACCCCAATGAAGATGATCCCATCGAACATGTCGCAGGATCAATAAGGTCTGGTGGCTCCCAAGATCAAAGCCAATATGTTGTAGCGCCTTCAATCCAGGTCCGGTCAGAATTTTCGACGCTGACCCGGACGAGCGACGCCAGCCAGCCATTGACTTGTATCGTGGTCGTAGAATTACCTGGAAAACGACCGTCCGCGCATGTCCCAGGAGCAGTGATGCCGACTGCTTCCACCTTCTTGCCGCGAAGGGATCACCACCCTTCATCTAGTCACGCTACCCCTACCGGTGCCACGAGCCCCACCAGCATCATGAGCCCAACTGGAGTATCGAGCCCTCCGCGACACATGAGTCCCTCCCTCGAGCATAATTTCGGGCGACCGCGCACAAACGCAGAGCAACATTCACCGTCGGGCTCGCAGTCACACGGTCGTGGGAACCTCCTCTCCTCTGCTCGCGAGGGCTCGCCGTATCAACTGTCGCCAACAAATTCTCATGACGCACTGGTATCAAGGTCCCCACCGCTGCCTGCGCCACCAATACAGCAGGACGAGGAGGAGTCGTCGCCTTTCAATGCTATCACCGACGATCTACGGAACCGGATAATCGACTGGAAGGGGCATCCGCTGCAGGGCTTGGGCCCTCTGCAGATGTACGACCTCCTTGCGGTACGCCGAGACGCTATTGTGCGCGAGTTCTTCGTCTACCTATTCCGGGAGGCGATCATATGCGTAGTCGAGGAGAAGAAGCGCAGCCTAGGCAGGCTGCTCTCTTCGGACCCTTCCGGTAGCGGGATGGGCTCTAGTGCCGGCGGAAACAGGGGTGTTTTGCGACTGAAGGGTCGGATATACATCAAGCACATCAAGCAGGTCACGGACACTAGTGTCAACGGCGAGCTCAGTTTGACAATTGACATGGAGGACGAACGATTAGATTCATTCATCCTGATCTTCAAGGATCGCTCATCGCTGGAGACGTGGAGGAATCATATCCAGTCTCTGGTTGCACTGTATCAACAGCAAGGGCCGCACATGTCCCAGCCTCAGCAGCACTCCGGTCGTGCACCCGACCTGGAGGAGTTTGGCGGCAGCTCGAAGGCGATGCGAATGCTTAGCGGAAGCACAGGCACTACGGTTACTACGGTTAGTACCGCCGACAGTGTTTTGCACAGCTCTTCTCGCTCGACAGTGTCCTCTAATACATCGCTTGGGTCCACATCCGTGCGGATGGACCTGCAGACGCAACACCAGAAGCTGACGACTCTCGACGAGGACGACGAGTTCAGTCGGTACGACTCCCCTGCTCCGCTTGTGGCACCGCACCTGTCCTCTGGCCCGTCCAACTCGCTGCAGCCCCTGCAGCATCCTGGCGTAGACCTCATTCTCGTAATATCCATTCCCCCGCCAAACGCGACACCAAGCACAGCGGCGCTGAAGCTACGGGTGATTCGCACGTCGCTGGACTTTATTCTGGCATCTATGTCATCACGGGACCGGCTTAGTCTCGTGACTTTCGAGGTTGGCGTCGGGGGGAAGGTGCGCAAGACGCCGTTCTTGTGTGTCGGCAAGACGCAGAGTCGAGCGAGGCTGAATAAATTCGTTGGAGAGATTGGGCGGAGAGAGGAGGGCGCAGAGGATGAGTTTCTTATACGCGCAAACCAGGAGGATAAGACGGATGTCGTCACAGCGGTCAATCATGGTATGTGCTGCTCTGCAGTTGGCTGTAACACCTGGTTACTTATTTACCTCAGGACTCGACGTTGTGCTGCAGCGCAAGCAGCGGAACCCGATGTCTGGCATGCTCTTGGTCAGTGACACATCAGAGACCACACGGCGAGCACAGATGGACCTTGTCCTGGCGCGTGCGGAGGCAGCCAACGTACCGATACATTCGTTTGGCTACGGACGCTCTCATGATCCAGCATCGTTATGGCTGATGTCAAACCACACGGGCGGGACGTACACTTTTGTGAAGGACTGGTACGACCTGCGGGACTGCCTAGCGGGCTGCATCGGGGGCATCATGTCGATCGGCCTGTTGAACATGAAGATGCACATCAAGATTGTCGACGGACAGCGATTCAAGATTCGGAAGATCTCTGGCGGTCCGTCAGCAATCCTGTCATCGGACGGACGGGACGTGGATGTGGATGTCGGCGAGGTGCGGTACGGCGAGCGCAAGGAGATGCTGGTCGAGCTCGAGTTGGATAACAAGGACGCAACGCGTACAGTGATGAAGCCCTCGAATGCAGCGCAGCGCGCGCTGAGTGCGACGGAACAGTTCCACCAAAGCATGGGTTTCGACTCGCTGTCGATCTCGGACTCGCCAGACCTAGCGGACGGAATGATGGACGGCATGATCGATGAAGTGCCGGTACTAGAGGTTGACGGGTCGTTCTTCGACCCCGCAGCAGCGAAGAACGTGTCGCGGCTTGCACATCCTGTGTTGCTGACTGTGACCCTGCTACCGCCGTCGTCGAGCAAGCCGCGGCCGTCGAACAGCCCGTCGGACCCAGTGATCGTGCGGCGGCGAATGGAGCTGCTGGCTTCGGACATGATCACACGCGCACTGGTGCTGGTGTCGCGGAAAAACTACGCACAGGCACAGAAGCTGCTTGGGGAAACAAGGCGGATCTTGCACACCGTGCTACAGAGCATGATGCAGACGCTTACGCCGGCGGCGAGTGCAGGCCAAAGCACGGGTCGGAACCGGAAGGAGCTGCTGACGATAGCAGCTGTACGAGCAATGCAGTCGATTCTTCAGGACATGCAGATCCTGTCGGAAGCGTTGGAGGATAACGTGGATTTATTCGCTCACGACCAGCGCAACTTTGGCGCTCAGCAGGTAAGGGTCGTCGTCATACCCGAGCCGTACGTTTGCTGACCGTTTCCTGCGCAGGCAATGGTGTTGCGCGACCAGAAGAGCTGGAGTGGGCGGAGCGCGATCGAGCGGCTGTTCTGGACAATCGACAACTCCATCGAACTCGTTTCGCGCAGCCAAGACTGGGTCGCGCGTGAATAGACGAGCATAATCTATCTCAAGGTTTCTTCGGCTACCTTCCTTGTTATCGGCTCTCATCTGGCTGTCTCATCTTCTGTTTATGGTCTCTCGACGCACTTGCTACCATCACATTTCCGACGTTCGTTCCTGCGACACCTCGTCGTCTGTCTCAACGTCAGTATATATTGTACCAGCAGCACTCGGCATCCACCTGGGTTGGCACATAGTGGATTAAAGGACTCCGTTCACGTCGTTGTCAATACCCTTACACTGCACCGAGTTAATAGTGATCATTTTCATTTTTATCTCCCACTCGTTGTTCTTTTTTGCCGTTATTGCTTTGTTCATCTTGCTGTACCCTTGTAACGTTAACTAAGTACTCCTCAGAACTAGAGGTTCGGTATATATGATTACTATGCATATGTTTGTTTGTTTACTTTCTCGAAACCATGGCTGACTTCATTTATCCGAGTCTATATAACCGAACGAATGAAGACGCACTTGATTTCCGCTCGGCGTGCGTGGCGCCCCCGACCTTGACCTCGACGTCCAGCCTAGCCCATGTCTTCGTTTTAACTCCTCACTATCACTGTTGTTTAAGACGGCACCGTGAGTCTCAGGCCACGACAGCGCTACTCAAGACGGTCAGCGAGTGCAGTCAGTAGCTTCGCAGTGTTGAACGAATGCCTCGACGCGCCCGGATACACTATGTCTCCCTCCGGACTTCTCTGGCGAATCTACCCATCTCACTGTATGGCCCGCTTCTGGAACGGGGTGTCGTACGTTTGATCACTGGTTTGCTGAGATATGATGTGCTCAATGGCTGCGTAGCGTCCACAAGGACTAGCAGTTCACTTAACTCAAGTCACCCCGGGCAAGAAGACAAGCGCATCTCAGGATGGCACAATCCGAGGAGAAGCATATGTCGGATGGAGCGGGATGGCGTCGGCATCGTCCCTGGCACAGTTTCAGTCTGGAGTGGACAGAGGGCTCGAAACTGTAGAGATTGACCCGCAGTTTGCGTCAAGCCTTGGGTTTGCGCAGGGGGACACAGTACGCATCGCACCTTTCTCCTGAGACTACTCACGGACTTCTCTAGGTTGAAATAGGCTTACTACACAATCTGGAATATGCAGCCACCGTGGAAGCCGAACCTCTGACAGCAGACGATTGGGAAATCCTCGTATGTAGGCAGCGTGTCTTCTGTCGCGCGTCTGTCTCATTTATCGTGATCAGGAACTACATGCTGCTCACGTTGAGGGTACTTTCTTGTCGCAAGTACGTGTGGCATTCATAGGTCAAGAGATCGACGTTTGGGTGCTTGGCCGAACACGAGTTCGACTGCGGGTTGGTAAGCGCAGACATCGGATACGTCTTCTCCGTATACTCACGCAGACGTCTCCAGTTTCGCTAACGCCACCTACGAATGGAAGGGCTCTGCTCGTTACTTCGGGCACTGAACTCAGCATCGCGCCAAAGACTCGCAGCAAGGTGAACGGCACCGGTGTCAATGGTTCGTCTAGCAAAACGGAGACAGAGATCAGGGGCGACATGGCTGCTGGGTTGCAGCAGTCCGTAGAACCAGAAAAGAAGCGAAAGCGGGCCCATATTCTTAGGACCCTTCCCTCGCGGATTATGCCACCATATAGCCCTTCGTGTCCTTCTTTGGAAGACGGCTCAGCATCTGCCATTGGTTTCGTATCGAAGCGTCTTTTGAACTCGCTGTCTGAACAGTCTCCGGATGCGCAGCCAAAGAGCTGGCTTGCAACCGTTGATCGCGTCCCTGGGCCTCAGGATCCTACACAAGAGCCTGCTCTCCCTCCTGCCTTAACGCTACCGGTTCCTCGTATCCTTGTGCCGACTGATCCTAGTGCACCAAAGGCTGTCGACTTAGCAGTCCCTGAAGGCACGAAGAACCAGATTTTGGTTGCTTGGGCTCCCGGGCTCGAGGTCCCAGAAGGGCATATAGTCATCTATGGTTCAGTCGCTGATGTTGCAGAATGGGACCAAGCAAGGTGATGTCGCCGTTATAACCTGGTTTGGTAGATACTAATGGCCTCGTCATCATAGAGTTGGGTTTGTAAAGGAGATCGGAGAGGAAGTCACAGCTTGTACGCCTGACTCTGGCATATCTAGCCAGTAGGTCGCCATATCTTTTCTCTTATCATGCCAGTGACAGCGAACTAGCCAGATCACAAACACACACGAAGCTCGCTGGTGTCAACAGCATAGTAGACGATTGCGAGATGTTTTGCGTCATATCCTATATGTCGCATGTCAATCGGTCGCGGGTTCACGGAGGTGTGCACTTCCCGTTACATTAATGTGACCGCCGCTGATGACGTTTCCAGTGCCTGGCTTACTCGTCACTGGTCGGAGCGGTGCCGGCAAGACTTCCATTCTTCAAACGGCATCCAGAGCTCTTCAGAAGGATGGGCGCACGTTAGCTTGTGAGTTGTCCGAATGGCTCGCCGAGAGCTAGTCTCATTGGTGTACATATGCACTCCGTAGACACGCTATACGTGGATCTCGCAAAATACACTGAGACCCCCGTACCGAAAGTGAAGAGCCTGCTCCACTACTGGTTCGACAAAGCATTTTTCCATCGACCTACAGTGATCGTTTTCGACAACATTGACAAACTCATGGGCGTTGAGCAAGAGGTGAGATGTAGCGCATGCATGTGGGATGATCATGCTTACGACTCAGTATAGCACGCAGATTCTTTCAAGCAGCGCCACATCACGGAGCTCTTCCTTGACCTCTTTGGTTCCCATACACGTTTCGCAGCGCCAAATGCCAAGGGCATTGTGCTATTTGCCTCTGCGGAGTCGAATGCGAGCATACATCCTCGGCTGAATGCGGCACACGTCTTTAAAGAGGTTATCGCGTTGAACCCGCCAAATAAAGATGCTCGCCGAGATGTACGCTATGTGACTTCGCACCAAGTCAGCTGGCTAACGAGCTCCGCAGATTTTAACGCAGATCGTGCAAGGACATCTCGAGGGTTCAGACCTGGTCAAAGATCCCAAACGCCTACTTAACTTCACCTCTCTGGCTACACAGACGGAAGGATATCTTGCGAACGACTTAAAGGACCTTGTAGCGAGAGCAGTACATCGCGCCGCAATGCGTGTTGCAGAACATGAGGACGAGAAGAACTTCCAGGTCCGTGTATACTTCGTGTAGTAGAGATAACTCTCGCCGACATTCTAGACAGCCGACATTGTCGGTTGACGACTTTGCGGCTGCACAACTGGACTTCGTACCGCTTTCACTACGCGATGCCAAGCTGCAAAAGTCGGACATCGTGTGGGACGACATTGGAGGTGAGCTCGAGGCTATGAATTCCGGCTCGTTATTTTTTTTTTTACATATATCCTTAGGTCTGGCTGAGATCAAGCGTGTGCTCCGCGAGACCCTGGAATGGCCCACGAAATACGGCCCGATATTTGCGCAGTCACCCTTGCGCTTGCGTTCCGGGTGAGAACAATATTTCATCGGTGATATATACCCTGAACTTACACTGTTCGCCAGCTTGCTGCTCTATGGCTATCCCGGATGCGGCAAGACCCTTCTGGCCTCAGCCGTGGCAAGGGAATGTGGGCTTAACTTCATCAGCGTCAAGGGCCCTGAGCTATTAAATAAGTACATCGGTGCAAGTGAGCAATCAGTACGCGAGCTATTCGAACGCGCGAGTGCCGCGAAGCCATGCGTGCTCTTCTTCGACGAATTTGATTCGATCGCCCCAAAGCGGTGCGTGCGATGTCCGGGATTTCAGCCATGCGGTACGGTCAGCTGACGACAAGTGTGTTCTAGAGGTCATGACAGTACTGGCGTCACGGACCGAGTAGTGAACCAGATGCTTACGCAGATGGACGGCGCGGAGGGTCTGGAAGGTGTGTACGTCCTTGCTGCGACAAGGTGAGTGTTCTGCAAACGAATGGTACGAAGCTGAGAATTGGGAAGCCGACCCGACCTGATCGACTCTGCACTGCTTCGCCCGGGTCGACTGGACAAGGCCCTGCTTTGTAACATGCCGACCGCCGAGGAACGCAAAGAGGTGAACTGCCACCACCAAGCAAACTGTTCTACAGCTAACGTATACTGCAGATCCTGGTTGCGGTGAGCCGGAAGGTAGCTCTGTCGCCTTCGGTGGACCTCAGCGCGCTCGCGCGGGACACAGAAGGATTCTCGGGCGCAGATCTGCAAGCGCTAGTGTACAATGCGCAGCTTGAAGTTATTCATGAAACGATCTCTGCGACATCCGCATCATCTGCTTCCGGCAGCACCAGAGATGAGGACGAGGTACCTGTCGAGTACACCATCATCGGCGGACCAGATAGTGGCAAAGCGGTTAAGTCGCGTGCAGAAGAAGCCGCTTTTCAGCGTCGGGTCCGTGTACCCCATCGCTTTGCTCATTGCCCTCTGCTGACCTCATTGTAGCTGAAACGCATTTTGGCGTCCGGGAAGGCCCAGGGTACTGGCAAGAGCGGTACCGACGCGGCACAAACAACGCCACCGGTACGTCAATGGAGAATTTGAGTCGGCACCGCAGCTTGACCTTTCGTTGGTGTTGCCATAGAAGCGAGAGATTCTTGACAGCCATCTGCGAAAGGTGCTCCAAACTACTCGGCCGTCGGTTCCGGCGGAGGAGCAGGAGCGGCTGAGCAGGATGTGGGTGACAATTGAGAACATTAGACTTTCTGACGCTAACCTATTTCTACAGATACCGAGCGTTCATATCTGACCGCAGTGGCGAGCTGCCGCTTCCTCCTGATGCCGGAGGGGTCGGATTGCGGGCGACGCTCATGTAGCGCATGGCCGCGGGAATTGGACTGTTTGTGTTGGAGTGGGATGCATGCTGGAAGATGCCCAGAAGGCATGACACACCTGCTGTAAACTCTCGGCACCGCTGGCAAAAGTTGACCTACGATCGACCGTTTGAGGGGTATCTGCGGGAGTAGCGTATGGTCTGATAGCCCTATTTTCGCGAACAGGGACACAAACTACCGTACTAAACGAGCCCCTGTACTAAGACTACTGGCTGTGTTTTTCTTGCGTGGGGGGATACCTGTTTCCGCCGAGTGCAGTACTAGTATACCGCGCGCAGATTCGGCGACCTCGCCCGGGCGCCTGTGGCAACGACCTCGCTTGCCTCTCGACCTTGTGCCCAACGGCTCGCTCACTTCCTGGAAGAACGTCTGGCTGCTCCAGACTCGCTATTTCGATAGGAAATGCAACCTTCTGAGTTGGAGATCCAGAGGGAGGTTGAGACCTTGCGAGACATTCGGCGGCGGTCGACTGCACAGAACGGCATATTAGACCCTGATCTCCCGTCCGTCTCTGGCGATCCGGGCTCGTCGACAGCGTACTGGGAGGACTCTAGCAGCAGCTCTCACGGGGACGAAAGCGACAGTGGCTCCGCCGGCAGGGAGGACCCATTCAGTCCTTTCTGGGTGCCCGCACGACTTCATCCAGAAATTGCCCCCGCGGAATTCAGACAGTTTCTCAAGGAGCATGCGAGGGCACCAGCCGAGGAGGCAGCGTTGGAACGGTCGAGCTCGACGGAGTCTGCGAGTCTATCGAGGAAAAAGTCGATGCTAAGCCGGCAGTATGACCCGACGAAGGACGGCGGCAGCAACGAGAACGAGCACGTCGTCCCAATGAGACGAAACCGAAGCATCTATGGGCATCAAGGCCCTCAGTTGACGATTAGCGACCTTCAGAAGCTGGAAGAGTTGGCTGAGGAAGCGTCGCAGAGTCGGGATCCGTCGAAGCTCAGGAGTGTGCTCAGAAGGAGTATCAGTTTGAATGTCGCGCCCTCAGGTGTGTCTCGTCTGCCACGAACACGATGTACGAGCTTAATCTCTTTCTTGTTACTATGTGAGCAGTCATAGACCAGATGGACGACATGCCCGATCTTGGTGACGACGCAGACGCCCCAATCATTGTTCCACGACCTGGCCAAATATTGCGTAGAACGGCACGCACCAAGATTCGGAAGTCAGGCACAGGCGAAGGACCGCATCGCTTCAAGTACGACCGCTCTAGAAGGGGAACTCCCAGTCGCGCGGCCACCATTGAACCGCGCACATCCAGCGATTTCTCGTCCAGTGACCATGGCGACGATACTCCAAGCCGCAAACGGGCAGACTCTGACATTCCTGATCTGCCAGCGTTCGGAAACAGGCCTGACTCGTACAGCGAAGAGTCGTCCATCTATGACGCATATGCCAGGGAAGAGTCTGAAGAGTCTGAACCCCATGGTCCTCTTCTTGTCGCATCCCCTGAATCTCCTGAATTCAGCGTATCTGATACCGCTGCGTTGCCACCTAAGCCACTACTACCGCAACCTGCGGCCGAACCTCCAGCAGAGCCTGTTCTGCATCACCCGCAACCGAAGAGAGCCCTTTCCCTGCCCGTACCAGAGTCTGCTGCACCGCTGGTACACTCCCCATCACCTGAACTTATATCTACATCCCCTGTCGCATCCCCTGCCATCGAAACACCGGCGCCGGTTCAGCAGCCGCAACAGCAACAACGACCTGTGCTTAGCCCCCAAGCAGCCAGCTCTCAGCCCCATCCGCAGCCTCCCTCATCACCAAGCCCGTCTGAGCACAAGAGAGAGAAGGACAAAAAGGGCCTCTTCGGTAAATGGGGTGGTGACAAGTCGGGCAAAAAGGGTCACAATCACCAAAAGGACAAGGCAGAAAAGGAGTCTAGATTCTTCGGTTCGCTGTTTGGTGGGAAGAAGAAACAGGAGGACACCGTTCCGCCCATTAGTGGCGGAAACACCGGTCGCGAGACCGCCGCCGCGCTTCTCGGAGCATCAAAGTCGGCCAAGAGCTATGTACCGTCTCCCTCGCCGCAGCCAATGCAGGGATACGCCCGCTATCCAATCCATGTCGAGCGAGCCATCTATCGACTCAGTCATATCAAGCTTGCCAATCCGCGTCGGCCACTGTATGAGCAGGTTCTCATCAGTAACCTCATGTTCTGGTACCTAGGTGTCATCAACAAATCCCCGACTCCAGCTTCCCCGGCTGCGTCCAACGCGCAAGCGCCCGCAACGAACGGTACCGCGGACAAGGAGAATGAGCATGTCGATAAGGAGAAGCAAGAGAAGGAGGAGCGCGAGCGGATTGAGAAGGAGAGGCAAGAAAAGGAACGAGAGAAGGAGCGAGAGCGCGCGAATGAGCAGAAGCGGAGAGGAAGTCTTACAAAACAACCAGCGTCAGGCGCACCGGGTGGTCGAAGAGCAGAAGTTCCGGTGCGTGGGCCACAGTATGATATGCAACATCGAGCGATAGAACAGGAGTATGGGTACCCGGGAGGCGGTCCGCCGAGAACATCCAGCGCACCTCCGACACCATATACTCGAGGGCCATCGACAGCACCAGCACCGTACACCGTGCAGCTGGTACAGCCTCAACCTCAGCCGTCGGCGAATCGATATTACGTTCCGGCAGCCGCACCTCAGTCGTACCCGATGATGCAACCTGGCGCTCAGCAACTCCCACCAGGTGCGATGCCACCTGTCAAGGTGGAGCAGACATGGGTGAACTCACAGTCCTCGCCAGTATCGGGGATGCCACTAAGGGCTGGCACGTCGCCGTCACCACCACGTACGTCTTCTCCGCCCATGTACCATCCGGGACACCCTAGACAGACTGCTTCTCCACCACCAGCAGGACAACGATATACTCCTGCTCAGGAGAAGCAGCCTTATAGCGGTCCTGGGAGAGCGCCAGGACGTTCGTTATCTGCCTCTGCAACCGCTCCTATGCCACAGCAACGACAGAATGGCGTGTTGCGGAAAGGTAACAGCGCCCATGCTGTCATGCCCCGACAAAGCGAGGAAGAGGACGTACCGCTGGCGGTGTACCAGCAACGTCGGAAGTGAAGTCCTTTTTTTCCCTACATTGTTTGTTTCATCATGGATTTTTTGTATCTCAAGTCTCGTCTATTCCGCTCTTTCTCCCTCCGCTGTTCACTACTCACTTCACCTCCGTTCGTCTTGTTCACGACATCTAGATATCCCGCAATTTACTCTAGGCTATTCTGCGTCATTCTTGTTACCGCGCACCGATATGCCTCCTCATCACATCCCCATCGTTTGCTTTCCGTGGCATGTTTTTCCATACGTCTCGGTGGACACCATGCTATCTTGCCCCGCATCTACAGTAATCCTGGATTCACCTCCGCACTCTCTGCACGCATCCTCTTCCCATGTCACGAGTATAGAAGCCGTTTCTGCCCGGACAACGGACTTATGGTTCTCTTCCTCTACTACCATCCTACGCTACGAAAATGATTCCCGCTTAGTCTACGCTAAATCCGACCCATCTTCCCCTCCAGATGGACGAACATGGGTTTTCGGGGTCCTGTAGGACGAAGAACGTCTTGTCCTGAACCGTTGAGCTCGTAAACGCGTAATCTGAGGACCACTGGACGACACCTCATGCTCACAGCGCTTCTTCATGTTTGCCGTGTCCGCATGCAGCCGTATATAACGCTTTCGAGTCCCGTTACCGGCCCAGTGGCGCATGTAGCCCTGCAGACTCAATATCGTTTTCCCTGTGTATTTTTAACGCTGTGGCAAAGGCTGTCGTCACTCGGAGGCCATCAAGGAGAAAGGCCGCAAGTTTATATATTCATAGGTGGGAGACTCGGCGAACCCTGCACTTAAGAATGATCATAGATATTTGGTCACTTCGGTGCAACAAAAAAAGTGAGTACCTGGGCCAGTGGTTCTCATGCGGGTCGACCAACATTTACATACTATTGTTCAAAGCGTTGGCTTTGTGGACCTACGAAGCTCTGAAACATTAATATATCATTCAATTACAAGCCACATTAGTATCCACGGCCATAGGACTCTGAAAGCACCGCATCCCGTCTGATCTGCGAAGTTAATCAGGGTGCCGCCTAGTTAGTACCATGGTGGGGGACCACATGGGAATCCTAGGTGCTGTGGTTTTTTCATTTTGCTACACTCGCCCAAGCCTCACTTACTGTTACTTACTCTTAATTACTGCTACTTACTGTACTATTACTTACTTTTCCTTCACTTACAAATTGTTACACAGTTATTAACCTATCATTCCGCTGTTGGAAAAGCACAATAATTCAATATCTACTCGTTTGGTTACCGTGAGAACGGCTCGGCCGTTAGTACTGCATGCGAACGATGGTTGGAAGACCATCGCGATATGCTGTCTCTGTGACTTGCACGGCGAGCAACCCAAGCAATGTCGCAGCATATCGGAAGTGTATTTCTTGGCGACGTACAACGGCAACGTATCTTATCCACCTCGACTCCGCCGTCCTCACCACCTCCGAACGTCGGTACCTCCCCTTCACCTTCGCCGCTCCAGATGGCTTTCTTCCCCGAGTCTTCATCTGTCGTAGATATGGATATAGATGATGCTACTGGGCCGTCAATAACTCCGGAAATATCTCTAGACCTGCGATTGCGATGGCTCGAGACACTTTTGTTCGGCACGCGTCAAGAGGAGCAACGAAGGACCTCACAAATACAGCAGGGGAAGAGTGGTACTACTCTAATACGTGGAGCTGATGACCTGCAGCGGAAACTTGGGGCCATCGTGCAGAATAACGATGGGCTAAAACGCTTTCTAGACCACTGTATGTTTACATCTTGTGGTGTACAACACTGGCTGACCCCAAGTCCCAGCCGAGCAACACGCTCATTTATTAACGCCTTCGTTCGCCCTATCTGGTACACTACCTACGTCGCCGACGTATGAGAGCATGACTGCGGCAGAAGTTGAAGCTATGCTCACCGAGATGGAGCCCGACATCCGCGCCGCCGACCGTGATCTGCGCGAGATTGAGCTGTTGGAGAAAAAAGATGTCACTGGTGCAGGAAAGCTCTCAGACTATGAGATCCTACAGCCTCGTCTGGACGCACTCATGAAGGCACACGAAGAAGACCTACATAAGGCAGCCGAGCTCGAGAAGCGTATTGCTGCACTCATGAACCGCTACGCCACCAACGTACGTCTGCGTCTTCACCTCTCATCGCAGCGCTCGGACGCCTCTCATAGGTGGATACGCTGTCAGAGTTGTTCGTCGCCTGGGATGATACCCTCCGCGATGCGGAGCTCGAAGTCGCGAGGTTGGAGAAGGAGCATCAGGAGCAGAGACGGCTCGGTCTTGTATGATACCCTGCATCATGTACTTTGTGATCACACTTGCATATATACCGTCGCCACCAGCCATTTTGTCCGCTTTCTTGTCCTGACTCACACCCTTGCCTGACTCGGCATGGAAGAAAGCTGCCGTACTTCATTCTCTACCACCACTTGCTCGATCCTACGGCCTCCGAAAGACGACACTTATCCCATAATCTTCAATCGCCATGTCCCAGACCGGTGCCCTGGCAAGCGAATCAGCAAGCACGATAGCGCGAGCGGCGAAGACAGCCTTTGAAGCGTCTCAGCTCGTGCCTTCATCTGAGCGAGTAAACGCTTTGCACGAAATCCGCAGGGAGCTTGAAAATGCGAAGGCTGAGATTCTCGAGGCAAATCGCAAAGACTTGCAGGTGTGTTCCATGCCTCGGCAGAGACTTTCCGTGAATGACAGCTGTACCAGGCGGCTCAAGCAGAAGTCGATGCAGGGCGGATGGCTCAATCCCTTATGAAGCGTCTTGATCTCACGAAGGGAGACAAATGGGATTCGATGCTTCAGGGTGTGACAGACGTCGCAGACCTCCCAGACCCGACCGGCAAAATTACATACGCCTGCGAGCTCGACGATGACCTCGAGCTATATCGTGTATCGTGCCCCATCGGTGTGCTGCTTGTTATCTTTGAGGCGCGCCCAGAGGTTGTGGTGAACATCGCCGCGCTGGCGATCAAGTCGGGTACGTCCATTAAGGTTGCATTAGTGACAGAACGAGACTAAGCAGATCGCTGCGTAGGAAACGCCGCAATTCTGAAGGGCGGGAAGGAGTCAAACGAAACGGTACAGTTACTCTCGAAAGCAATTCAGACTGCCCTCGCGAAGACACCAATCCCGAACACATATATTCAGGCTATCCAGACTCGTGCCGAGGTGTCTGCTCTGCTTGAGCTCGACCAGTACATCGACCTTGTCATCCCGCGCGGCAGTAATAGCCTCGTGCGTAGCATTCAGAACAGCACTCGCATCCCCGTCATGGGGCATGCAGATGGGCTCTGCGCAGTATACCTTGACCAAGCTGCCGATGCAGAGAAGGCTGCCAGAATCACTGTAGATTCTAAAGTGTGTTCTGTTAGGTCCGAAGATGATACACAGCTGAGATCTGCTTTCCAGACGGATTATCCAGCAGCGTGCAATGCTGCAGAGACGCTTATTGTGCATGAAGCTTTGCTGTCTACAACTTGGCCGAAAGTCGCACGGGCACTGCTCGATGCCGACGTACACCTCCTCTGCGATCAAAGGACCCTCTCTGCACTCTCCTCCATCTCCCCGGCACCTCCAAAACTCTCAACCCATGTTCGCCCATCCAAGCCAGACGACTACCGCACAGAACATCTCTCGTTGACGATCTCTGTGCTCGCCGTTCCCTCGCTTGCCGCTGCAATGGCGCATATCAATGCGCATTCCTCACACCATACCGACTGTATCGTGACCGAGGACACCTCTGCGGCATCGATCTTCTGCCGTGGGGTCGACTCAGCCGGTACGTTCGTGAACGCGTCGACACGTTTCGCAGACGGCTTCCGCTACGGCTTTGGCACCGAGGTCGGCATCAGCACCGGTCGTATACACGCACGCGGGCCGGTCGGCCTCGAGGGGCTCGTCATCTACAAGTACATGCTCCGCAGCAAGGGCCCGAACGGGCACATCGTAGGCGAGTTTGGCGTCGGCGCGGGAAAGAAGCAGTACAAGCACGTCAAGATCGATGCAGCGAGTGTGCTCTTCTGACATCTTTCCTAGTCTGTGTATACAAAATAGCAGCGTATTAATGGACACGAGCATGTGTGTAGCAATGCATGGTGGGGGGCATGCTGGATGGTTTACGATGACACGGGCGGGTCGGTCTCGTCTAGCCTGGCCTTCTTTTCTGAGGGTGAAGCTGGTGGTTCGTCTTCTGCCTTGCGCTTTATGGCGCAACTAGCATCCGCGGTTTCCATCGTTGGTGCGGAGGCTGAGGCAGCCTCTTCGCTGGTCTGAACCGATGGCTTCTTTTTCTTCTTCACCATTGACGTCAGATCGTTGACCTGCGCAGGAACGATAGGTGCCGCTGACGCTCCCACGTTAAGCTCGTTATCGAGAGCTTTTGCAGCCAAGGCGGGTGCAGATAATCCTTGCTCGTTTGGAAGTGTCTTGAGCTCCTCGACCTAGAAACCGATATACAATACATTTATACAGTGCTAACCGAAGTGCTCACCTTGAGTGCGAGGTCCTCTTTCAGACCCTCGAGCTCCTTGATTTCAGAGGCCATCTGCGTCTGGGTCATGTTCTGAATAGAGTCATTACCCAGCATGCGCGGGCCCTTCGCAGGTCCCTTGCCTTTGCCCTTTGGATCGGCCTGCTGCAGTGTCTCCACTTTCATTTGGCCGCTGGTCGCATTTCGCAACTCTGCCAGTCGCGCCTCGACGCTGGCAAGGGCCTTCTCAGCGTGGTCAATGGCATCTGACAGGCGACCTGAGCTCATGTCGAGCACGATGCTGAGCTTGTAGTGCGCCTCAGCGATCTGCCGAGACGACTGGGGGAGCAGTTCGAGTTTGAGTTCCAGTCCTGTCTCATAATCGGTAATCGCCTGGTCAAATTTTTCTGTACATTCTGTCAGAATGATAGCCTTCGCGCGTGTTGCACCTGTACACACCCGTTTCTAGCGAGACGTCACCAAGGCAGATGTATACCTCCGCCAGCTTGTGCTTAATCTCGTCAGACTCGTCTTGCCGCTTCTCGAACAACGCCCGGGCTAGATCGAGGACTTCCCAGGCGGCATTAAAGTCGTCTTCGGGCTCGCCTCCGTCAGCCTCTTCCCCGTCTTCCTCATCCTCATTGTCTTCGACCTTGGCCGCCTGGCCGAAGAGATCGACCGGTTCGTCCTCCTCCGCATCACCAGAAAACGACAGGAACGCAGCATTCCCGCCACTCTCTAATTAAAGCAATATTCGCGTCAGTTCTGTCAAAAATTGCCGAGGGGTGAGGTGCCACACACCGTTCTCTGCTCCCGAGGCATCCTCGGCCTGTTCCTTGCCCAGTACAGAGCTTTGTGAGATAGCATTCTCCAATAAGGCCTTTCCGTATGCAAAGTACACATCTGCGATTTCGGGGGCGTTGTCGCCGTGTTGCGCGGTCCTACAAATTGGGTACCATAACAGTGAGTACTTCGGTAACGTTGGCAATGAAGCGTGACGCGCACATCTGTTCGAGAACCGTAGCGTAATGGTCCACAGACTGCTCGTACTTTCTGAGGGCGAAGGCGCGTTTAGCCAGCTCAAGTTGCTCGTCGATGCTTGGCGTAGCTGTTATTGTCGCGGCTTGTTCTGTGGCTTTCGTGGATGCAAGCTTGGGCCCAGGTTGTTCGCTGAGCAGCCTTGTGAGATATGTCAGAGGTGCGTAGAATAAGAACACTTACGATGACATGTTGGCGAGGTGCAGGGACTCGAAAGTGGAGGAGGAAAAGTAAGGTTTGTTATGGCTGTAGCCTTCTCGCAGGCGCGTACCATTGTGAACGCGGTCGCGTGCATTATGTAAGCAGTTCTCACAATCATGGTCCATTTATAATACCCAGCCACGAATATCCTAACTCACCCACACCGGTCTCGAGCATCTCACGAAATCACGACAGAACTACGGACTTACCATTGTGATTGGAACGCATCACAGCCACTTGAAGGATATGTTTGAGAAGAAAGGATTGGTCGATTCGGAACTACAGACCGAAGCGTAGCCCGGCAGGCTGGGACGAAACGACCACAGCGCATAGCTTCTCGAGTATGTCGCTACTTGCTTACAGATATATGCGTAGTGCGTCAAAAGAACAAGCCAACCGCAAGAAGACATCAGACTGAGCCCCTCGTCCGGCATTAGACCGCGACCTCATCGAGATTTCGCTGCGTGCTGCGCTTACAGTACGGCTTTGACGAGTTTATGCACCCGCAAGGTCATGTCGATGGTCATGGCGAAGCGAACCAGAAGAAAAGGAATATAGTTGGCCAACAGGAAGAACTCCAGTTTCACCGTGGCCGAAAAGACTTTCTCTGCGAGCGTTTCTGCCGTTGTCACAGGGATGCTGAAAAGGGCAGCGACACAAGGCAAACATAAGTGTAGCAATAGATGCATCATAGACAAGGAGAGGAATATAAACTTTCTTAGAGTCTGAAGATTGGACAGTGAGTGTGAAATTCTGCGTTCTCATGCAGATGACTTACTTAACCCTCAGCAGGCCCCATATGCCTAGGAAGAAGATAGGCGGCTGGGAGAAGCTGATAGAAAAGTGTCAATGAGTGAAACTGAAGGAAGAAGAGCAAGAGTATCGCAGGAAACCCACATTTCTAGGTGCTAGGGCAAATAGATCCAGATGTAGTCATCGAAGTTGCCGGGAAGACCCATCATGCCACCTATGATGGGGTCCTGCAACGCAAATTTTGGGCAGATTCACAATGTGTTCAGGAAGCCACGGGACAAGCTGGAATGCTTAGGAGGATGGTTCATCAGGAAACAGGACTTGGGTCCATAGTGCTCCAAAATGCTCCTGTAGCACTTTGTAGCATTGTGAACCTAAGCCTTTTTCCTGATGCTTGCTGGGATGAGACGCTGCACCACATCGACGTCAATGTTAACATGGATAGCATATCCGACAAAAATAGGATTCACTATGAAGAAACAGACGTAGAAGAAGTCCAAAGGGTGTTGGCTAAGAGGTTTTGCGGCCATTTGTGCTTCGAGGGTTGCTTAGAGGCGCGAGGGCACGAGAAGACGTGGCAAGTGGCAAGTGGTAGTGATGCAACCAGTTCAAACAGACTCAAAAGCAGGACTCCGGCATATCCCCTACCTGGTCCGGGTACGAGTCGACCTCCCGGAGGGACACTCTCGGATCCCAGTCCGGGTACAACTAGCCAGTTTCAGGCGAGGGACAACAAGCTGATGCCCATAGACTTCAAATACTGACGCGCCCTGCGGCGCCCTAGTACGCGTGCAATAAGCGCGGGCCTCTCGCGTGACCGTTCGTCGCGCCACAAGGCCGATCCCCTTTGCACATGGACACTAGGCGCGTTCATCCATTTTTATATTTCTCCTCATTTTTCTTGTGCTTTTTTATTCAGTACAGGACTACGCGTACAGAGAGCCTGATAGCGGCATATACACGACAAGATTCCCCTGCATTCATATCATGTTCTGAGTCCACAATCGTGTCCCCGCGTTCCCCTCGAGCTTGACATCCTGTGCAGCGTGCGGCGCCCTCGTTGGTCCCCTCGCAATTACAGTACAGCCAATACATTCTGAGCTCTCGCGTGTCCTCGTGTACTCTCGAATCCCTCCCACCTCCTTCATTATATTATATCATGATATTCCCCTTATATAAGATTGGCTCCCTAGGGTCTGAGCGCGCCCCAGCGCATCGTATACAAACATTTGAGACATGTAAAATTGATTAGTTTGCGTACAATGCGATTAGCTTCTACTGTCGTAGTATTACTTTATCAGCCTCTGCGCGGATTCCGGTGTCAACGAGGTCAGCGAGACGTAGCGCCATATCAATCGCCATAGCGAAGGGTATCAGAAAGAAAGGTAGGTAGGATACCAGGAGTAGCCAACGCTGCGCAGAGGTGACAGAGATAAGGTTGGCTGAGATTGTCTCCGGCGACGTAGTCGGTGTCCCAAGGACAACAGCGAGACACGGAAGCGTGGTCGTAGCTGTAGATGCGGCATATACGAGCAGAAGCACATGTATGTTCTTTGAATCTGCGGTGGCCTGGTCAGTTTCAGCTGCTCGATCCGAGAATATACGACTAACCTCTCAGCAAGCCGTGCATTGCAATGAAGAAGACAGGTAATTGGAAGCATCTTGGATAACACAGATTCAGAACAAGACCTATCCTTTGTCTTGATTACATTGTGCACAAACACCATACGCACAGCTCGAGGATGAGGAATGTCTTGAACCAGACGTAATCGCCGGAAATCCCAAAGTAGCCCATGGCACCTCCTATAAGTGGGTCTTGAGACATCCTCACGTAAATCTCCGGCAACTTAGCGATAAATCTTGGAGTAAATGACCGCGGATACAAAGCTTGTATATCGATGAGCAGCGTCACCGGTACGTGAATCTGCGACCAAACATGAGCTCCAGGTTTGCGCGAACTTGGGACTGAGTACACGGCTTACCAGGAAGAAGCAGAAGTACGCCATATCTACGGGACATTCGAAGAGCAGCTTCCCCATAACTGAACGATCCGTCTCCGACAGCTTAAAGTTCGTCACGGTCGCGGACAACTCAGAGTGACCTGCCGCGCGACAGTCTGTGACGGCACGCCGTCACGGTCGATTATTCGGCGGCCATTTTCCTGTCCATTTCTTCCTCCCAATCGTCGACGCTTTTTTGCATAGTAAAAACATGGCGTCGTACCCACACACCTGGCTGTTTGTGGGCAAGTTGAATACGATTGTCGCGTCAGGGCCCCACATCCAGGCTATCGAGACGCAGTGCGCTTTTCCGCCCGCGCGTCGCATGAGTGCTCCCTGATATCCCCTAGGATAGGACCGGCAATGTGCTACACTCCACTGCTGCCCTGAAAGAGGCCAAGCTAGAGGCTGTCGTTAAGTCCGGCCCTATCCGTTGTATAGCCGTCGACCGCGACTTCCGGCATGTCGTTGCCTCAGGAGAAGACAAAAAACTGAAGGTGTGGCGTTTGGATGGGTTAGAACTGTTAAGTGAACGGTGCGTAATATACATTCGCTGTGCAGCTATCCTGCTGAGCTTCATGAACAGTGAGCTACCCAAGAAACCGACCGATGTACACTTCACTCGCGATGGCCAGACTATTATCGTCTCTGACAAGTTCGGGGACATCTTCAGGTTCGTGCATCTATCGTAACTCGTCGTCTGGTGTTTCTAAACCTTTAACCCAGCTATCCTCTCTATCCAGACATCAAAAACCTGGCTGCAGAGACAGATAAGCGGAACGCGATAATCTCGCACGAAAATCCATCGGACGGCACGCTCGTTTTGGGTCACACTTCTCTCCTGACATCCTTTATCCTAACAGAAGACGAAAAGTTTGTCATCAGTGCGGATCGCGATGAGCACATCCGTGTCAGCTGGTTCCCCCAAGGCTATGTCATCGAGAGGTTCTGCCTGGGACACAATAAGTGAGTCACGCGGCAGCAACAATCACAATTTGTTGTGATGAATTGGCTTCTCAGGTTCGTCTCGGCTGTGCATATCCCCAAGTTCTCCCCTTCGACTCTTATCTCAGGCGGAGGTGACCCCGAGCTCAAGCTATGGGACTGGATGTCAGGAGAATGTCTCGGCGACATCTTTGTCCTCGAGACAGTTGAGCCCTTCATCACCGTAAGACCACCAAAAGGCCGGGCAAACCAGTCTGATGAAGATGGTGACGAGGAAGAACCGAACTTACAGAAGGGAAAGCGCAAGGGCAAAGGCAAGAAGGGGAAGGGTAAAGGGAAGGCCGAGGCTGTGGTTGACGAGGATACCGCAGACGCGGAGAAGGCAGAGTCCGTAGAGGATTCAGAAAGCATGGCTGTGGGCGAAGCAGGCGATGGCGAGGCTGAGGAGCATGCAGAGGGGAACGACGCGTCCGGTTCAGCACAGGAAGAACAGCCCCTTGTACTCGTCATCCGCCAAATTGCATCGATCGATGTCGCGGGTCAAGGACATTTTGTCGTGTTCAATGCTGTTGGGTACGTCATGAGATTCTGTCACGAAGGTCCGATAATAATGGACTGCCCTAGCGCAACTGCGTTGTTCTACTTTATATTCTCGTCCGAACCCAAAGCTCAGCCTGCGCCTGCAATCTCCTCAATAAACTTAGGCAGACCCGTAATCGACTTCTCTATTGACGAAAGCGGACGTATCTGGGCGCTGGTTGACGGCGAGAGGCAAGGGTTGCCCGCGACAGACGAGCACGACAAAAGTTTGGTCAGGTTGCTTAACTTCGCAGATGGCAAGGTAAGGTTTTGGCATCTCATTGTACGGCTTCGTGTTAATGCTCCTTTACAGCTGATTGAAGTGGAGAGGGAGGCGCCTGTCTTGTTGACATCCCTCAACTCACAATGCAAAATTACTGGTCAGTCCGACGTTCTGTTTGAAGTTGTCTCTTGGTTCTTGTTAACATTATCCGTGGTACAGCCTCTGCATTGGATCTTAAAGCATTGGATCTCTACTCTGCCCTGTCAAGTATGCCAAAGCACGTTGATCCGGAGCACGACCCCATGCGGCGTAACGATCTCGAGTCTCTCGAATCAGCGACTAACCCCTTCGACAGCCCGAGCCACGCGGGAACGTCCAGTGAACCTGGCACAAAGACTCGCGAGCTGACCCAGCGTGAGGCAGCACGGTTGAAGAGGAAGCAGGCGTTGGAGGCAAAAATCATGAAAGACCAAGCGGCATCAGGCACCGTATCCGCGAAGCCAGACGATGGCCGCGAGGCTAAAAGGGCCAGGTCAGAGGTTACTATCTCACAAGCTGCCGGTGAACAGGCTGATGTGACGATGAAGGATGTAGCGTAGGATACGCTAGTCGTTACGCCCCAATAACGCGCCTATAATTTTTGTACCTCGTAACTGTCGTGAGAAATACTTTCCTTTTCGGGGCCCGCACTGAATTGTCTTGGCAAAAGCGTGTCTTGATCATTGTCTCCCACCACCACTGCCCCGCCTTTCTCGATGGATTGTGCTTGGGTGCGGTTGCCCAGGTTCAGGACAAAGCTAATACCTCTTGTGTTGGGGGCTGGCATTTTTACCTGGTTTATTTACTCGCTTTCAGGTCCGCCTCTGGAAGGCCCATTTGCGCATAGGAACAAGCCCGGCTACAGACCGTCGCCCAGGTTGCGCCCATACCCGCCTCCACTGGCGCACACGGTGTGGAACTCTCGGGCAGAGCAGGTCAAGGAGGCCTTTGTGCATGCATACAGAGGTTACCAGCAACATGCAGCGTCATCTGACGAGTTACTACCTATCACGAATACTTCCTCTAATCAGTGGGTAGTCGTCTATAAAGACGGAAGGCTAATGGACGAATGTTTCTCTAGTTTCAATGGATGGGGTCTTCAATTGATAGACGCCTTGGATACCATGTGGATAATGGGCTTGCGGGACGATTTTCAGGACGCGATGCCGTTGGTGGCTGCTATGACCTTTCACTTACCTGATGTGTGTGCCTTTCGGCTGTTTTTCTGACACGCCTCATGCTAGAGATATTAGACCGAATATGCGCCATTTTTTGAAACTGTCATTCGCTACCTTGGCGGGCTGCTGTCTGCACATGCGCTCTCTGGCGAGCCCGCCCTTCTCGCACGTGCAGACGATCTCGGGAAGATGCTCCTTCCTGTATTCAAGACACCACACGGACTACCCATGTATGCGGTGAACACTGTGACGTAGGTATATATAAAATGTCGTCCATCGCGATCGGACTGACGCTTATCAAGCGGAGCCACAAGGGCTGGGTGGTCGTCGGAAGTCTTGTGGGCGGAGGCCTTGAGCTGCCAGCTCGAATACAAGTATCTTGCACACCTCACTGGTCGACAAGAATACTTCGATCATGTATGTTCTCTTAACCTCATATTCTTTATAAGCTCATTGATGTGGTATGGCAGGTGGAGCATATCATAGATATCATGCAAGCCGCGAAGATCAAGGATGGCATGTTTCCTACTAAATGGAATATGCAAAGCGGAAAACCATCTAATGGTCTGTGAGACGTGACATGCGTCATATAAAGCGCTGAGCTGGATTTTCTCTAGACCAGTTCTCGGTGGGAGCGTTTGCGGATAGCGCTCACGAATATTTGCTGAAGCAGTGGTTGCTCACGAGTCGATCTGAGACTAAAGCGATGAAGCTGTGTAGGTGCCATCACATCTTCATACATATGTGCCAATGCAGTAGCAGACCTCAAGGCGGCCTCGGGGATCCTCAACCATCTACTTTATCTCACCCCCAATCGACAGCTACTCTACGTCACGGACACTTCAGGCACTAATGCGACACCCTCACACACCTTTGAGCATCTTTCATGCTTTCTCCCGGGCTTGCTTGCGCTTGGTGCGCACACGCTACCTCTTTCAGAAGACGACAAGGAACTGCACAACTGGGCGGCCCAGGGTCTCGCGTACACGTGCTGGATCACATATGCAGACCACGCCACTGGACTGGGTCCAGACGAAATGCTTATGGAAGATTGGGATGACGATCCCACGGGAGCTAATGGCCGGTGGATCGACCATGTCAAGCAGTGGAAACGCGAGGGCAGTCCTGGCGGCGTCCCGCCTGGTTTACGGGAGGTCCAGACAAGGAAGCATACAGAGAGAGATTACAACGCCTCAAAAGGAGGTTATTTCCTGCGTCCTGAGGTATGTCTTTTGTTAGAACAGCCGGGACGATCTTAGTTCGTGCTTATGTGCGCTTCTACGCAGTCTGTTGAGAGCTTTTATCTACTCTGGCGCTTGACAAGGGACGAGACATGGCGCGAGCGAGGTTGGGCGGTCTTCGAGTCCATCGAGCGCGAAGCCAAGACGCCCAGCGGATACGCTAGCTTATCCTCTGTCGAGATTTCACCAGCACACAAGAAGAACGAGATGCCCAGGTACGTTCCGTGTTCGGAGTCCATCCATGCAAGCGCCCTGACTGCTCTTGTTTCAGCTTCTTCATGGCCGAAACGTAAGTGTTACAAGAGTGTTTCTCAAACTGTGAGACTGAGTCTATGTTTAGATTGAAATATCTCTATCTCCTCTTCCGTGAAGAGGACGTGATACCCCTTAATCAGTGGGTGTTCAATACCGAAGCACATCCACTACCGATCTTCCAATGGATGGACTGGGAGAGGGAACGCTACCGCATCCCCTGACGGCGCACGGCGGGGCATCGACCTGTCATGCACCGCCAAAGTCCGGTGACACATGTATAATTTGCTCGTTTATTGGTGGAAATTACCGTGATATAAGTATTTATTGGGATTTACTGTGATATATACATTTATTGAGATTTACTACTGTGATGTATGGGTGAGGACAAAATTGATATTTCGCAATTTGACGAAAACGGAGGCAAGGAACAAAGGAGAACAAAATTGACCCACAACAATGTGATCGCGAGGGATGACCGTTGTACTACAGTACTGATATGCGTGTTGTCTTCAAGCAGACTATATGTATAGGCATGTACAGCCGTGACCGTGACTGTCTTTCCTATGTGCCTCGTCGGCAGCTTTGTGGCGCGGAAGCTGCCTGTCGGGACTCGGCGAGCGTCCGCGGGTTTGTCATTCACCGACGCTGGTGCTTTCGACCACGACCTCAGCCTTTCACCCCTCTCAAAGTACTCATGCAGTCTCCAAACTCGCCGTCAAATCCGCCAGAAGCTCATTCCGCGCCCTCGTCATCCACTCAGGCAAAGCCACCACCCGGCTGGGTCCTCGGCCCCGACGGAAAACCATGCAAGATCTGTACCGCGTTCCGGAACTGGAAGCCGCGAACGGCCAAAGCGGGCGACGCCTCAGACGGAAGGCAGTCCAGCACAAGCAGCACCGGAACGACTGCAGCAGCAACAACGGCGGCGGCGGCGGCGGCAGCAGCATCAGCAGTCGCCGCAGGCCAGGTCGACAGCGCACGCCCGGAGAACTGCCCGCCCGACGTCGAGATCCTCGGCCGCGCGACGTGGACATTCCTGCACACGACGGCGGCGTACTATCCGGAGCGCCCGACGGTGACACAGCGCGCGAACATGCTGAGCCTCCTGCGCGCGCTGCCAACGCTGTACCCGTGCGCGCACTGCGCGTCAGACTTTGATGAGCGCGTCCGCGCGCACCCGCCCGACGTCAGTGGGCGCTCGGGTCTCAGCAAGTGGCTGTGCGAGCGCCACAACGAGGTGAACGAGAAGCTGGGGAAGGAGAGGTTCGAGTGTGCGGTCGGGAAGCTGGACGAGAGGTGGAAGGACGGGCCAAGTGACGGGAGCTGCGATTGAGCACGTCCCTGGTGCGTGTGCAGCTGCGGTTTCTCGTGCTTGCGCAGCCCTTACAGACATAGGAGCATACGTAGAAGCATTGTTTTATATAGATGTCACCACTCATTCACCGACACATATCCTCGCCATGCTGAGTGCGCAACAGACGGGGCTCGGGAGATGGCACAGCAACGTACATCAATAATATAACACACTAGATACTAGTCTCCCAAAATGTCGAGCGGGTCAATCGGCTCTTCGCCCGCGGCATTCTCATGCTCGCCCGTATCCACCTCACCTTCCGCGTCTGCAACCTCGCCTTCGGCGTCGGCGTCCATCGCGTTGAGGAGATAGTTCGGGTCCGTGACCTCTGCCTCTGCCTCTTCGCGTTCTTTCGCCTCGTCGTCGTCCATCCTGATGTGCTGCACCTTGATCATGTGCCACTTCTTCGTGACCTGGTCGTACGACTGCGCGGCGTGACATGTCAGTGCGATTCCATACACATAGACGGAACTGCGGAGGGCTTACGTTGACGCGCTTTTTCTTGAGCAACATCTTCCGCTCAATGTTCTTGTAGTATGCGCCCTTCGCTCGTGGCTGCGAAGGCATAACTTCGCCTTCGGGGATGACGTCCTTGATGTCGGTGACACCGTCGTCGAGCACGAGCAAAAATTCGTTGGGTACTTCCTGCTCGACCTTGACGACCTCGTAGTCGCGGATGAAGTGGAAAGTGGTGGGCTGCGCATACAACAGGATGAGCAAACAGCATCACAAGAAGCTGCTGTGCATGCGTACCTCGTCCTCTTGTACTCCATTAACCGGCCGCTCCAGACGCATTCGCTTGAACTCAACGGCAGTCTCATCCTCCTTCGTGAGATAGTACGCGAGGAAGTGGTCGCCTTCCGACTCCATGGGACGCAAGACGGCACAATCCAGGCGAGGATCGTCATCCTAGAAAAAACAATAGTGCTCAGGAATGATAGTATAGAGATAGGGACGATACATACATCTGGGGGCCTGGGCTTGTCCCCTGGCCGTTCAGAGAACCGAAAGAGGTCGTACGCGTTTGCCCAGATGTTCGCGTCCGGCAAGACCTCGTACGAATCAACGGCCGTCACGTTCGGTTTGTTCGGGTGCTTGAGCATCGAGAGGTCGAAGCCGTCGCTGGCAGAGGCAAATGACGCTTCAATATCCCGTATCCGTGCTGAGCGCGAGACGTCGATGGGGGCCTCTGCCGCAGGCCTGTGCTCGCCGTGTGGCGACTGGCGGTAGCTGCTGTCTCGGCTGATGTACTCGGTCTTCCGTAGCCAGGTGACGTGCGGGATGGAGTTCGGTGTCGACGTGCCTGAGGCTGACGCAGCGTGGCTCAAGGCGAATGTTCCGAGAGAAGCGGACGGGTCGAGGAGGAGCAGTTGGTCTTTTGGATCCAGAGTAGGTAAGTTCATCGGGTCAGGGTTCAGTTCTGGATGCGCATAGCATCCCAAGCCTCAGCATGGCAGTGACAGAGCCGCATGACTGACTACGCACCTGAATCGTCTGCATTCTGCTCCCACAAACATTCCCACTTGCCCAAATCTAATGGCATCCCACACTCTGCATCCACAATCATGGGCAGCGGAGTGTCGCTTGCGATGTCGTTCAGGAACTCTGGGCGCGCATAGCGCGAAGGGTCTGTCGGATAGTCGAGCAGCTTTGGTGGGCATGGTGGGGCGGGTAGTGGATTTGAGTATCGCACCCGGACCAGCAGGTCGAGTTTACTGTTTTTTGAATGTTCATTTATGTCTTCGTCTTGGATGTGTAAGCTGCTCACCTCTTCTTGAAACTCATGCTGGGACGAAGTGGGACAAGCGAGAGCGGAAGTCCTCCAGCGGCCAGGCGCCAAGCTCGCTCACGTGCCCGCCACAGGGCGTCCGAAATTTCATGAGGCGCCGAGCTTCAGCAAGATCTTCACCAGGTCTTGCTTTCTGCTCGCGTCGTCATCGAGTTCATCACTTGGACGTGGTGCGCGCTCTTTTCATCTCACTTTGTGAGCTAGCGGGACAATGGCCAAGGCGGACAAGACGCAATCTGCCCAGAAAAGAGCGGACAAGAAAGCGAGACATGACACCGCGAAGCAGAGCATAGGGAAAGCGCAAACTACAAAGGGTAAAAAGGTCGGAAAGGACAGATTGCAAGAGCAGGTACTGGCATTAGGTGGCGACAAAGAGGATCTTGCGCTTCTGAAGGGTGTGGATGAAGATAAGAACTTGATGCAGGGAGAGCAGGCTACCGATGTGCGTACCACTCATGGGACACAGAAGCAAGCGGGACATTCTAACTTGAGATACACATATCTTCGGTATTCATTACTAGCCTGAGCTTGCGAACGATGTTTCAAAGTTTCTCGCTAGCCTAAAGTCGGGCTCCGCGCCTAAGACGAGAACCGAGTCCAAATCCAAGCCCAGAGCGAATGCCGACACAAAACCTGCAGATGTGAAGGAAAAGGTCCCCAAGAAGAAGGAAGAGAAGCCGGGAAAGACGAAGCAGAAAGCAAAGGCGTCAGAAACCAAGCAGAACGAGCCTGAGGGTGCTCATCCTTCGCCCTCGTCTGAAGCTCCCAAAACGACCGGGGTCAAGGCCACAGGCAAAGGCAAACTTCATCTCGCCCCGAACCCGCACTGGTACACTGCCCTTGCACCCCTTTCTCCCCCGGCAAACCCGCTACCCGCTCCGTCAGCCAGTCGGATATCATCCCTTACCGAAAAAGCTGCACAGCTGTTCCAGTCGGATGCCGCCTCGTACCAGGCGTCCTCAGCGTTCACAGGCAATAGCGCATCTGATTCCCACTTCCTGAGCGCCGTCTTATCGAAGGGTACACTTTCTGATAGGCTCAGTGCGCTCACGTTGCTGGCGCAGGCCAGTCCCGTGCATAATACCAAGGCGCTGGAAACCTTGAAAGGAATGGCTGAACGCGGTCGAGGCAAAGGCGGAAGGGACGAAGGTCTTAAGGCCATGCGCTGCGTGGTGGATTGGTGGGTTGGTGGAGGTGCTCCCGGCAGGAAGCTTAGGCAAGTCAATCTTCTTGTGCTAGCGTTGCGTGTGCTGACTTGCTATTTCTCTAGGTATTTCCGCGATCAATTACTATTGCATCCCGACGTCACGGACCAGCATCTTCTTGTGTGGTACTTTGAGGATTGGCTGAAGAAGTACTTCTTCTCAATCCTACAGATTTTGGAGGTACGCGTTATCCCTTCCTTACCTCACATGTACACTCAACGCGACTTAGACTTACTCTTTAGATACACTTCCATATGTTCGGACTCAAGCGCTTGCTTTCATCACGACTCTGTTGCGCGAGAAGCCGGAGCAAGAACAGAACCTGCTCAGACTGCTCGCTAACAAATTGGTATGTCTGAAGTTGTCATATGCGCTGTATCTATTCTCATAACTCTTCCTGCAGGGTGACACCGAACGGTCTGTATGCTCTCGGGCATCCTATCATCTCCTACAGCTTCTGCAGTCTCACCCAGCGATGAAGAGTGTTATCGTCCGCGAGATCCGTGCGCTCATCTTCCGGCCCGCTGCGTCTACTTCTGCCGCTGCCCAGCAGGCACTGGTAGCTCCACCCAAAAACACGCACATCCGCTTTGGCGACGAGGAGACGTCTCCGGGCAAGCCCAAAAGCAAGAGCGCGGACGCTGCAAAGGCAAGCACGATGGAGCGCTGGAACTCGCACGCGTGGTACTACTCCGCCGTCACGCTGAACCAGGTCGTCCTGACCTCCAGCGACCACGACCGTGAGGTCGCGCGTGTGCTCATCGACGCTTACTTCGAGATGTTCCGCGAGATCCTTGGCGGCATCAAAAGCGGGCCCGCCAAGGAGGCGGGCGAGACGGAAGACGGGAAGGACAAGGCAAAGAAGGGCAAGGCGAAGGAGGTCCGCGGCGACGCCGGCTTCGCCGAGGTCGAGGACGAACACTCGCGGCTCGTCGGCGCGGTCTTGACTGGCGTCAACCGTGCGCTGCCGTTCGCGAAGGTCGACATGGCCGGGGGCAACGACGTGTTCGCGAAGCATATGGACACGCTCTTCCTCATCACGCACACGTCGACGTTCAACATCTCTCTGCAAGCCCTCATGCTTATCTTCCAGGTCGCCGCGCCCGCACCTGTTTCCGCTCCCTCGACATCCAAGGACGACTCGGCGTCCTTCTCGGCATCTTTGAAGGATCGGTTCTACCGGACCTTGTATTCGTCGCTCTTGGACCAACGCCTTGCGAGCTCGAACAAGCAGGCGATGTACCTGAACCTGCTGTTCAAGGCGCTCAAGGCGGACACCAATGTTGAACGGGTGAAAGCATTCGTCCGGAGGTTCATCCAGATCCTCGTGGTCGGCGTTAGTGGTACAGGTGGAATGGAGTTCGTTGCTGGAGGCCTCTATCTGTTGGGCGAAGTAAGTCAATGCGTTTGCCAGGTGTGAAATCATTACTTAACCGGTCTCCACATGAGCAGCTTTTCAGCACGGTTTCCGGTCTACGACAGATGTTCAATAACTCTGCCTCTGGAAAGACGGAGGAGGTATACGATCCAAAAAAGCGCGACCCGCAGTACGCTCATGCGTCTGCGTCCCCGCTCTACGAACTTGTAAGCGCTCCTTCTACCGGCCTGGTTCGTGCTCATCGCGTGCCTAGCTTCCCCTCATGTACCACTACCACCCAGCCATCTCGCTGCACGCCCGCCAACTCCTGGCCGGCCGACCCATCACCGCGACCGCGGACCTCTCCCTGAACACCGTCTCGCACTTCCTCGACCGCTTCGTGTACAAGAACCCGAAGAGGCCGAAGCCGAAGGGCGCGAGCGCGATGCAGCCCGCGGCGGCGGGCGCCGCCGACGGCACGGGTGTGAAGCTTGCGAAGGGCGAGGCCGCGCACGGCGGGGGCCCCGTGAACGAGGAGAGGTGGTGGAGGCGCCGGCCGGAGGACGTCCCGGTCGACGAGCTGTTCTTCCACAGGTACTTCACGCAGAAAAGCAGGAGGGAGAAGGAGATGGCGGAGAAGGTCAACAAACGGAAGGGCAAGGATGAGGATGAGGATGAGGACGAAGATGAGATCGAGGAGGGCGGGTTCTCGAATGGAAAGGTGTCGGACGAGGAAGAGGAGGGGTCAAATGCGGAAGGCCACAGTGGAGATGAGGACAGCGACAAGGAAGAGGCTGAGATCTGGAAGGCGAGCTGCTATTTTTGAAATTTACTCTCGAGTAGTGGGGCTGACACTGTTTCTCAGGCCATAAAAGCGACCATGCCTGCCGACCTGCAGGACGATGACCTGTCGGATGACAGTGACGACATCCCATCAGGCCTCGATGATAATTCTGATGACGATCTTGGCGAAGTCGATGAAGAGGAGGAGGAGGATGAGGGCGAGGAAGATGGGGACGAGGATGAGGATGGTGCAGCCAGCCTCGCTGATGACGATGACGATGACGATGACGCTCTATCTCTTGTGGAAGCGTCCGACGCCGAAGACCTTATCCCACTCGACGAGGACGTTCCAAACGGTCTCATCGAGTACGACGGCTCCAACGCTGAGGATGAAGCCGAGGAGTGGGGCGGCATCAGCGGCTCGACGTCCAAAAAGCGTAAACGTGGTGGTGATGAGCAGGACAAGAAGCGGAAAAAGCTGCGGTCGCTACCTACGTTCGCAAGCTATGAGGACTACGCGAAACTCATCGAAGATGGGCCAGAGGACAATATATGAGCGCGGTATTTTACTCTGCTGCCTTGCCCAAAATTGCTGCATATATAACTTTCATCACATCAAGTGGGCGGCTATTCCGACGCATTCGATGTTAGGCGAGATACAGCGGGAGCATTTGTTACTAACTCGGGTGTTAGGATCGCTACCTGTGGGAAGCTTGTGTTGTGTGTGGACTTGCAGTCTGCAGTTGGTTCTAGTAATTACGTCGCAGTTTCCTTGGACTCTCAAGATCTCACCCGTCACCGGTTCACCTCCAAAGGTCTTTGTACAGTGGTATCTATACGTCAAGAATCCCGCCAGAATAAAGATAAAGATGACACCACGCTTTAAGGTGGTGTTTGGGCCCGATGGGAGTGAGACGCCGAGAAATATTATTTCGTGCTATTTCGTGTGTGCGCATGAGCCCTGAGACAGGCTCTTGGGGACGACCTCTTCAATGTGTGTATACAAGTTCTAGGCTCTAGTACGGCTACCTTCCAGCGATCCATTATGATGCCTTACTGTGCACGTCGAAAATCAGTCTCTCACTCTGAGTGCCACCTATATGTTGTCACGTCGTCACTAGGTAGGATATTAATATCATCGTGCATCTCTACGTCACTTTGATGCGTGCTATTCCCTGTGACCATAGAGGCTAGTTTTGCACAAGTATATCTCTCTTTCAAGATACGCCCACGTCGTCACTGTGAGCCTCAGGATGAATGCCAATAGCAGGAAATTGCGTTCATGGTGGACGCGACGGAGGTGTATCAACGTGTTATTTATATCTGTTGACGTGTTGATCAGTCACATGATCTAGGTCTGTCCAGCGAAGCAGGTCTTACGTTGGACTCGCCCTCGTAACTTAACCTCTTGTCCTCATACTTGCATCTCCTTCTGCCACAAAATGGGCACCATCTACTCTAGTCTCAGCGTGTTGTCTATCGCGCTCATTGCTGGAGGTATAATCTACGGTTTTCTCGAGAAGCGACCACCCCCGCCAGACTGGGCTGGGCCATCCAACCGCGCGGTCCTGCCAGGTCAAGAGCAACCTGTGTCGTCAGAAACCAAGGGAAAGAAGAAGAAGAAAGCAGTAGCGAAGGAAGGAGGAGTACAGCCTGCGTCGCAGCCGGAGGTAGAGCCCACGGTCGTTCAGTTCCCAGCCATTGTTCCTGGCAGCTTTGAACAGGCTGCGGAGCAGACGGTCTCGGCGGCGACTAGCAAGCCTAAGAAGAAGAAGAAAGCCAAGAAGACCGCAGCCGGTGCATCTCAGATTCCACTCGATGCCCAGAGCGACTCATCCGCGACTGCACCTGAGTCACCTACGCCTGTGCCGCGGCCCATCGCGACGAGGCGCAAGAGCACTCCCATCATCGACACCGACGGGCCTTGGACACGCGTCGAGTCGAAGAAGCGTGGCGTGCACCCCTTGCAGTCCGCAGCAAGTGCTGCTGCCTCCTCCTCTGCCACAGCTGAGCCAGCCGCCAGCGAGGTCACTACCTCTGTCACCGACACTTCCTCGCCCGTGAACGAGCGCACAGAGGACGAGCAGGCCCTGGGAACGGCTGACAACCGTCGCACACTCGCCGAACGGCTCCTTCCTAAACCGCGCAAGACCCATGTGGAAGAGTACGTCTCGCCCTTTCCACCTTCCCGGGTGCTGTCTGTCTGACCATCCATCACTCCTAACAGCATGCTCGAAACTCCGGATGTGCCCCCGGCCGCGCGCGTCATGCGTGTGCAGCCTCGCCCCGACGAGCAGCCCGCCGCTGGCTTCTCATGGGCAGACTATGAAGACGTCGACGGCTCTGGTGTTACCGCGGACGACGCGGACGGCGAGTACGAGAGCGGCTGGATCGTTCAGAGCTCGCGCGGCCGATCAAGTGAGTCTGCGAACTGTCGGGGGCTGGGCCTATCTCACACTTCACATAGGACCAAAGGCACCACAATCGACGCAAAGCGCTCCCGAATCATTAACGAAGAAGCAGCGGCAGAATCTCGCAAAGAGCGAGGCATCAAAAGCCGCGAAGGCAGAGGCAGAAGCGCAGCGCCAGGCGACACTCGCGAAGCACAAGCGTGAGCTGGAGAAGGCGCGTATGGCAGAGCAGTTCACTCAGCAGGGCAAGAAGAAGAGCGGTGGCATGCGTGCTTCCGTGGATTCGGAAGGCCACATGGTCTTCGAGTAATTCTAGGTGAGACGATAGCAAAGCTATGGACATTTTCCCCGCATTCATGCGTGCGCGTTCTACCTTCAATGTGGTTAGAGACGACAGAATGTCGCATGCTAGGCAAGTTACCGGAAATGCCAGATAATAGATGCTTAGTACCTATGGACGACATTGTACAGCCCATTCATAATGCTTTTGCAGTTAATGATACCATTCCCTTGGTCCCGCACACCCACGAAACGGACAAGATTGCATGCATGCCGTAAGGTCCCGTGAACTCCGAACCTTCTCCAACCGTCAACTAGGCATACACGCAGACCTCCAATCGGTGGCACCCTTCTTCTGTCACCAATCGACAGCGGATGGTAAACCGTCCGTGAGAAGTCTTGTCACGTTTGCCACAGTCGTCTGCAGAAGCTTCACGCCACACCGCCAATATTTGATCCTCACTCAGGAGCCATGGTATATGCATGTGGGCCATGGGGCATGTCATATTGCAGTAGGTAGACGGCAGGAGATGCCAGAGACAAGCGAGAGCACATCAATAAATCAGATCGTAGAAGGGTACAACATCTAAAATTCACGACATGAGTTATTAACGCCAAGAAGCCAAGTTGGCTGGTGCTTACCACACGAACGGATGCGCCGAAAGCGTGAGGTGGAATGTTCGACTTAAACTTGGCCTTGACGACACCGTTGCTGCCGTGAGAGCGGGTAACACGGCTAGCCATGAAAAGCGTTGGAACCTGCTATCATGACTGTGGAACGAGCGTACGCACCCCCAGATTACTCGTACATTGGAACCCTCGATTTTCCTCTTCGCCCGGTAAACGTAGGCAACGCGCTGTAAAGCAAAAGTTACATGAAACTTCCCAGATAACAAATCCCATAGGAACACACCTTGCCGAGATAGAACTGGGCCTCCTCCTTGTTCAAGACACCCTCAACCTGGACGAGCGTGGTGTTGGGGCGAGTGTTGCGCTTGCCGCGCTTGTGGCCAAGAATGCGGCCCTTTACGTGGAGTCTACCAGATAGCGAGATTTATGTGAGCCAGTGTGATCCAAGTCGATGGACTGGGGGCGTCGGACATCCAGGGAGCAGGGAAAAGGGGGAGAGGTCGCCGCAAGTTCACGGAGTCTACAGAGATGTCATCCGGCCGCTTGCCATCCCATCCATCTCATTCTGCACCGAATCTTCCCATTCTTTCCCCCTTAAGGCATCCTATCATAAGCTGCTGCAGCGTAGTCTCGCTTCTTACCTTGTTGAACCCATTTTTGTCGTCGTACCAGCCGGTGTCAAGAGTCTTGAGGATGCTTGCCAATTATTGGCTAGCGCCGGCGGACACGCGCGGCTGAATTAGCGCTCAACGCGGGAATCTCCTGCCGGTTTCGTCCAAGCGTAAAGCAAGTCTTCGGGGACTTCACGCTTTTTCTTTAAACACTGTTGCGGCCTCAGAGCTGCACTTCGCCGTCCGTGTTTTCACGACGTGTGCAAGTAACGGAGCGGTGTCAGAACGAATTCCCGGCCTCGACTTTCTTATCGTCATTTTGCTCGGATTTGTACCAGAACCTGAGCTCGGTGCGGGGCCAATATGATCATCTTTTGCATGACTCACTTCAGATGGTCTCAGTCTCTGCGTGAATTCTGCTACTACTCGAAGCACATCAACACGTTGAGTTTGTGATTCGCGAGGATCAGACCCATAAAAGGCGGCTAGCAGATTCCCCGCTCTGCCAACAGCTACCATGTCGCAGTGGTCGCAGATGGTCAAGAGATTCACCTCGACTTACACCTCCAAGTCCACCCCTTCTAAAGCTCACCTTCATGCACCCATTCCAGACGCGACATTTCCCAAGGGCTACCTTCTGAACGGCATACATGCTGGTATCAAAAAGAAACCCGAACTGCTTGACCTGGGAGTCATTCTGTCCCAGCGACCTGCCTCGGCCGCGGCGTGCTTCACCCGAAACGCTTTTCAGGCCGCTCCAGTCATTGTCTCGCAGCAGATCCTACAGGACGGTGGCGGACGTGCGAGAGGCATCGTCGTCAACAGTGGCTGTGCGAACGCGGTGACGGGCACGCAGGGTATGCAGGATGCTTGGGCGATGGTTCGTGCTACCGACGCGCTCCTCGAAGAGCCCCCGAGTGGCGGCTTGAGCGAAACCCTTGTCATGTCCACCGGTGTCATCGGCCAGACGTTGCCCATCGACAAGATCCTGGCTGGCATCAAGTCACTCCCTCTGGCGCGTCTGGGCTCCAACTTCGCCGCTTGGGAGCGGGCCGCACGCGCATTCATGACAACGGACACGTTTCCCAAGCTTCGTGCGCGGACCTTCACGATCCGTGGCAAGGAATATCGTCTGGCAGGTATGGACAAGGGCGCTGGCATGATCCACCCAGATATGGGTCCGCCTGCACCTGCCGGACAGCTGCATGCCACCCTCCTCAGCTGTATTCTCACCGACGCTTCCGTCTCCCCTCGCAGTCTCCAATCGGCTCTCACGTATGCCGTCGATCGAAGCTTTAACTCCATCTCTGTCGACGGTGACATGTCTACCAACGACACGATCGTCGTGCTTGCCAATGGCGCAGCGGCTGAAGGCGAACCTGAGATTGACGAGACCACGGACAAAGAGGCTTTCGACATCTTCAGGGAGGAATTGACCTCGTTCGCCGCTGATCTTGCCCAACTTGTTGTTCGCGATGGTGAAGGCGCGACCAAGTTCGTTACAGTGTCTGTTGAGGTATGCTATATTCCTCCCTATTTCAGAGAACGTGCAGTCTCATTTGCATCAAAGGGCGCGAAGACCTATGCCGATGCGCACAAAATTGCCTCGCGCATCTCAACGTCCGCACTTGTCAAGACCGCCCTCTTTGGCGAAGACGCGAAGTAAGTCTTACGTTTACGAGTTTTTTTTTTTTCAGGCTGACATGTTTCCCAGCTGGGGTCGTATTCTCGCTGCGACAGGTTCCGTCCCGCTGTCTGCGCCACTCGACCCGAAGCGTGTTAGTGTGTCGTTCATTCCGGCCGATGGCACAGCGCCGCTTGCTTTATTGGTGAACGGTGAGCCTGAGAAGGTCGACGAGGCGCGCGCGTCCGAAATCATCGGACGAGATGATCTCGAGATCCGTGTTGAGCTCGGCCTCGGAAATGAAAACGCAAAATACTGGACGTGCGACTTCAGCTACGTGAGTGATAGTCTTCCTGCCGACAAGTTGCAAGATGAGATACTGAAACCGCTCCAGGAATACGTCAAAATCAATGGAGACTACAGGACGTGATTCTCAAAAGTTGTGCTAGTGGGTTTTCGACTTTTTGAGCTAGAGTTGTTTTGTGCCGCTGCATCGAATATAGAACCCGCTGCCTCTATCTCTGAACTCCAAGATGTTCGTGGTATCCCGCGACTGCAATACACTCTTACTACTACTAGTAATGAGACGTGGTTAGTATGCGAATTAACGAATTTGTACTGAGCTTGTGCAAACAGCTTAAGCTTGTCCCTATCTGGCACCACGGACACTCTCCTTGACACTCTCATCTTGCCTCACATTGCCTTGCGGTCATTCTTCTTGAGCTGTTTAAGCGGACTCCCGTGCTGTCTTTGACGCAACATGGGCCAGGGCTGGGTCATGCGGGTCTGTCCAGAATTGGTCTTTCACATGGATTGTTGTTCACTATAGCTTGTATTTACGCCCCCCAGCGTAAATGTCGATACCCAGCAGAAAGCATCGGATAGTGCGAAACTAGGAGAGTTCTTTTGGGATTCAAAGACGGATCTCATAAAGTTGCTCATGGATCACTGGTCTGGGAATGTCAATTTCACGAATATCTGGTATGCAAAACATAAGATCGAGGAGTATAATGACTCACGAGCTTGTACAGGACAGACAAAGAGATCGCAGTCCTTGAGAACGCGATGTCATTACCCACGTCAAGGATGCTCCGCCTTCTAACCGAGCTGCTTCGTATCATCTTCGAGCAGTTGACGACCTAACGTCCCGCATCTGCTTGTCAGTGTCACACATCATCCTGGGTGTCGTTGGAGAAGCTCGTCTCCGCGAGCTTTCCATCTCTAAGCCTGGCCCCTGGGCAGGCCACCGCATTTTATGCTATGGAGACTACTGTTGGGGATTTCCTGCGGGCGTTGAAGAAGACATATCGGCGCAGATAACGGCCCACACAGGTCACGGAGGGGATTACGCGCCTTATTTTAGCGCGTGCGTCGACTATACTTACAAGCGCGCCGGGTCCCACAACCTGTGGCCTCATAAACTTCATAATGCCTAGAGCGAACTCCGGTTTCGACCCCTATCCTCAGCGGACCGCAAAAGGGTACACACCTTCATAACCGCAAACTCCGATATCGGGCTTAGACTCGACATCTATGCTAGAGACTTGATGCTCTGCAACCTGTCAAAGGGAGAGTATGTTAGGAACGATGCGTGCATGGAGCTCAACAAAATTGATGGCGACGACAAGACGGAAGTGGACCTCGGCCTGAATCTGTTTTCCTGCAGCTGTCGGTCCACGGACAACTCCTGCTCCATGGCGCAGAGCATATCGGATCGACTTGTGACGGGACCGTGGGCCGGCGACCGGTTCGAGATCGTTCCTAAGGAGAGGATGGAGCGCAACACTGAATGGAAGGACATTACAGAGGAAGCTATAGCTTTTGCTTCGTGAAATTTACGAGAGCGAGCGTT